CTTGGCTTGTTTTAATGAGCTATTTGCGCCAAATTAAATTGCAGCCAAAAGTTTTTATAATTAGCCTCAGGATTAAAAAATCATCACTGAACAAAAGATAAAGAGAAACTACATAAGATAATTACCTAATTTTCATTTACGCACATCAACCTGCGTCCAAGTTTAATAAAAAAATATGTTTTAAATTAGTTATTGCTGAAACCTTTGTGGAACAATATTCAAATATAAGCAAAAGTTGATAAGTTAAGCTAGCTGAAGACTCTCAAGTTAATTCGCTTTCAAAGTTTACTAAAAATGAAGAAAAAACTCATAAAAATAATTATTGACTAGCAGCAATTTAGTCTGACTGCGAAGAGCGGTCTGTCGTAGTTTGTTTGAGTGCTTTAAGTTTGTTTTGCACAAGTTATTTCGGTAATTAGCTTAGTAAATTATACAAAGCCATAGAAATTCAAAAAACTACTACTTGAAAATGAATTTACTATCTGCTTGAACTTATTTTACTTTGAATAAAATTTAAATGTAAATATGTCTAAGTACAGTTACAACTATTCATAAATATTTTGCATTAAAAGTAAATTGTTTGAAAATCTTTGTAAATTTAAACAACCTCACTTTAAGTTTACCATTTGCTTTATTGAGTGTTAAATTATTCAATCAATTGCCGCTTCGTTAGTTGATTCTTTTAAAGACTTTCCGAAACAAATTAATGCCAATTGCAATTTTAAAAGAGTGTTCGTTTTGTGTAATTCGTGCAGGAGCCAACCAAATCCAATAAATTTGTATGTAAGAGACAGAAACGAGATAAAAATGCATTTAAAATTTAATTAATTCAATTGCAGTGCAAGGATACGACGTGGCGAATCCTGGCTGCAGTTCACAGTATAATTTGGTCTTATTTTATCAAAGTGTTTTTCCCGTGTTAATTTGCTTTCGTGCTCTGTTCTTGTCTTGACATGTATTTAATTTTGTTACAAATTTAATGAGTCCTGCGAACATTTCTATTTTTCTATATACATTTTCACATTACTAAAATTAATGTATGCAGCTATTTCGATTACCAATTATCTAAAGCAATTTTAGAAGCGCTTTGCATTTTCTATCTATTTACCAAAACTGCTAATATTCAAAAGCTTCCTATTATTTTTTATTGATTGCATTATTAAACCAATTATTTTCTCTCAAATACCCTTTCGTAATTAGTACATTAAAAAGACATTTTTGTACGCAGTAATAAATTCACTAAAATTTCCTGTGCTGTAAATTATATTGACACTATTACGAAAAATTAAATTATAATTATGTATGTTTGGCTGGGAGATATTTACATTCATCATGTGATGCAGATTCAACAGTGAAAGTCAATTAAAAAAACGTTGCTTTATGCAATTTATAATACATGCAAAATACAATTACCAAATTACCGCAAAAGGTCATCAAATGAATTGCCAATAAATTCGAGCAGTTGGCTCACCAACCAATCAGAAAGATGGAAACACATTAAAGCACTCATGCAATCACATAAGTCTATATATAGCATAATTGAGCAAAATTCTTGAATAGTTATTGTGGGAAAATATGTTCTGCTGAAAGCTTCGTTCGGGCAAACAGCTAATTAAAAGCTGTGCAAAAATAATTAGGCTACTTTTAGGTCATGCTTTGTTCAGGGACAATGATTGGTGCACTTTAGTTGCTTCATGAAATTGTTTTTATCATTGAACACGTCCACATAAATTACTTAAGCGTATTAATTATAATATGAATGGATATCAGTACAGAATGTCTATAAGTTTAAAGGTCAATTAAAATGCCAACAGCTTATTGTTTACTCTGCCAATTTAATAGTCAACCTATCTATTAAAAAATTTGTTTGCTGCTGTCTGAAAATCATAAAATGCACATGGTGTCATCGCTAACTAAAAAAAATATAATACAATACAAACATATATAGTAATTTTAAAATAAATATATAAAAAAAAATGCTGGTTATTTTTTATCATGGTCAAATAATTTTAATTGGTCGCAATAAATATTAACTTCTCATCGTCTTTTTTGGCGACTGAAATGATATTATAAGATTTAAATGTTTTAAATTCGAATATTATGTACAAATTATACTTAAGAATGTTACTCTATTAGTTAATTGCTATATATTAAGTACAAACAATTCAGCCTTATTCTTATGCCTCAATTAGGAACTCCGGAAATCTTTCTGCCAATTTTCATTTGAAATGAAGTGAAGCGCTAGAAGGGCAGACACTAATTTGTGATTTTAAGCATTCAGTGATTCAGAGTAAATCGAAAAAGTTTTCATATCTAATTAAAATCATATAAAAGCATTTCCTAAGTAACAAATCGTTGCCATAGTTCAACCTTGCCAAGGTGGTCAACAACCCAGTTTAACTGCTTGTACTAATAACAACACTCCCTGTTTTGGGCTTAGCCATGTTTTGTGCTAGTTTTTGTTTACACGCAAAACAATTGATTTGGAATCCTGGGTGAGAATTGAAATTGGAAGATTGAAAGAACCTTTGTCTATTCAACAATGTTAGCCACAGCCAAGTTACTGAGCAACTGGCTTAGAGTCTTTTACACAATTGGTGAGTATTTCAATTGAAGCACTTTCACTTCAGCATACAGCTGGCGCCATTTAGCAAATTTCATTGCGATTGATTCGGTAAGCTCTGGATTTAGCCCTGCCCAAAACTAATATCACATTCTATGAGGCTTATATGTAAATAAATAATGTGATTGTGTGCAATGCGTGAAAATAATGGAAATATTCTTCAACGCTATATCTGCCCATATTAATCTGTCTGATGAGCAAACTGTGCAACCGCATAAAAAGCCAACTCTAAAAAGAATTGCATTCACAAAAGCGACATGGAGAAAAAAAAATGAAAGAATTCAATTTAACAGCAAAACGCCCATTTAGCAACTTGACACAGGCTGATAAATGGTCAAATAGACTAACAAACCAGCAGACTGAGATGGCAGAAGTTATTCACAGTTTTTTATGCATACTGCAGCAGATATTTGCTCAGTCCATGCCGCATTGAAGTCAACGTAGTGCAACAATATGACCAGACGAAAGCAATAACAATGACAGTTATGAGTTTCTCGAAATGGAATATCGAACCAGAACCAGATCCAGCCAGCAATTGAAATTAATTTGATGCTTAATATGGTCTCTTAAAAAGAGAACATCCAACTCGATATGCACTTGTCTCTGCTAACGACTTTGGCCTCACTGATTCTTGAGCTTCATTTATTTTCATGACCCACTGTCATTTCCTGACTCGAAATGACAAGAATATTGACTGCTGTCTGAACTGAGGGTGAGCCATCAATTTCGATCATAATATGGGCGAATATTGGCCAATAACCACATCCACAAAATTCTCTTGGCTAACACATCGTCTTTTAATGTGTGATTATTGAAGCCTGGCGTATATTAAAAGGTCCTCCTCTGAACATAATCCTCTGGCATATTCATGTATTTAGTTAGTAAATCAAAAGCCAATATGAGCTTATGGATTAAATTTAACAATTTACACATTTTATATAAAACCATATTAATTAACATAAATTCTATTTAGCAATTATAGGAACAAAAACGTAATCAACTTGAATAGCAAGCAAATATCCAATTTGTTGACTTTTAGCTTGTTTTCCACAAACAATAGATAATTTTCAAATAAGCATTTGAAATTTACTTTATTTAGGCCACTTTAATTTATACATGATATAAAAGAATGAGTTACAACCTGAACGTAAACAGGTTTCCCAAACTATGCCAGATTAATTTTTGCCGAAGGGTTGCACACAATTGTAAAATGCCCACTTCAACTTCGAACCCAAATAACTAACCTGAGTTTGAGCTGGCCTGTCATTTGTAATGGCCTAATTTGGCATGTAACCAAAGTCATTAGGCATTGACTTTGACTCTGACTGTGGCTTTGTTATTGCCACTGACATAGCCTTTGGCATTGGCATTAAATGGATCAATTCGTGTGGGAGCAATCGGATCAGTTCAGAGGGCATTGCTTTTGGCTTTGAAGCTCGCGGCCCAAAATCCAAAAGCCACAATTCGAACCCGAATGACCCAAGCAGCCGCACACATGTTTGCATTTAATACACTTTTATTGCAGCTTTGGGGTAAACGACCCTCAGTTATTATGCTGATTGTGTTGACACTCTCCCAAACACACACACACACACACACACTGAATCCGTTGTTTGTTGTGCCTTGTTGTGGTGCTGGCTATTAAATATTTAAAGAGCTCTGAGGTCGACTCCACCTTGACAATACCTTAACGCAGCATACCACAAACTCAGCCAAATATATAAGCAAAAAAAAAAAAATGTATTTCATATGTAAACAAATCAATTTGGGGTCAATCCAAGATGCACGTGCTTTGAATAGCGATCTAAAAGCTACATTTGAATACATTTGTAAATGTCCAGCATGTGAAAAGTTTGCTTTTATTGTTTTATTCAATATTGATTACCTTGTGGCCGAAATAAAAGTTTTGCCAAAGTTTTAATTCTTTTGGGCAGCTGTTGAATTTTTCCACTGCAGCTCAAATTTAACTTGCAAACATTTCAGTTTAATCACTGCTGTATCTGTGTGTGTGCTGTTGTCTGCAGCAAACTTTGTCTTCAACTATTGAAAATAACATTTCATTTGGCCAATTTGAGGTGTCTTGAAAATAACGAAATTTGACACATTTTTCCGTGCGAACCTTTTACAGCCCTCTGGCAAAAAACTTTGGCGCTTTCTAATTGTTCATAGACAAAAGTGAGCTTGATTAAAAGTATAACTAGACTAAATGGCACATCCACCTTTAATTCAGTGATTATTAATATCTTGACTTTGGCTTCTTCATTTTAAGTCTATATTTTACTGTTCTGCTTAATAAAATTCCTGAAATCTAGTAATCCTGTCAAGAGATCATACTGAGAAATTCGTACACCAGATTTGAAAGTAATCTTTCAATATTATATTGAAACATTTTGGTAACATTCAGTCATGAACTTCAACGATGAACTTTGATAGAAAACTGCAAGGAAGCGATGATGTCAAAGGCTCCAAAAAGTCACGTCAAGATCTTCACATAGCAGCTCAACGCAATTACTTGGCCAGACAGAAGGGTGGGGAAATTCAACGAAGAATTAGAAACCTTGATCGACAGTTTCATCAGGACATTTTACGCTTAGAAAATTCGATGAGCATTATGGAGGTACCGGAAAAGTCTTTGGCTGCGAAATGGATATCCAAATTAAGAGCACATCAGCCCAATCTCAGTGAAGCTAATGCCCGAAACTATATTCTGACATACTTACTGCAATCTAATCCGTGCAAAATATTCGGAAAGAAGCCGTTCAACAATCCTCCATCGCAGAATGACTTATCGCAAATTAAAAAGGAAATCGTAAGCTTAACTTACTCTTATAAACTTAATATACATAGTACTAGAGTTCTTTTTACTATAGTCTGTTTCAACCGATAAGAAGGTGGTCCAGGACTTGTTTTCCAATTCATGCGATAATGGTGCCTTTCTACGTAAATTACCTGTACCACGGGATGGAGCTTTTTTTATAGTCCATCTTCACCCAAATTTGATATGATTCTTATTAAAATTCAAAGCATCAAAGAATAAATTTTATCTATGCAAATTCTGCAAGAAATCTGTGACCTGCTGTTGAGATAAACAACGGCAAACATTTACATGAGAATTATTTAGTCATCAAATACATTTCCGCAAAATCGTTTTTCGATTCGTTAATATTAACAAGTAATCTGGTGCAAAATGTGTAACAAATATTCTCAGCTCTGCATTGCTTCATATTTGCCTATGTATTAGCAGCCGTTTCCGGTCACGTTTAGATGCTTCCAAACTTTGAAATGAACACTCGTTTGCACATACTCAGACAATTGTTGTGCACTCGAATCAAATATTCTATTAAAGTGGCATTGTCCTTCAGTTGAATTTAAATATACGATTCCTGTTACAGATATTTGCACATTGTCTGCTGCCAATTTGGCTTTCTGTAATAACAATTTGTTTATTTCCATTCTAGAAAATTTGATTTTTAAATAGTCTACTTCAAATTTACTCTGTGTCGCATTTAATCTGTTTTCTATCACATATATTTGACTATTTGACATAGTAAAAAGTTTAGTTTCCAATTGTAACATTTAATTGAATATCAACTTTCGGCATAACAATTCCAGTAATAGATACGCACTCAGTACAGGTTTGCCAAGAGTAATGGCCAACTAGCTTTCCGTTTCAATTTCGCCAAAACATATCCGTTCCTGAAATATTGCTTTCATTTTTCCTTCTGTCTGTATAAGCCGCAGAGAGAAATCCTTCGCTGCTTCTGTGGCAACTGCTGTTGTTATTGTGGTTATGAGTTGCACCCACTCTGAAACAGGAGAGCTGCGTTGCAATCTGACGCAGTCCATATAAATTCGGCATTTGTTTGTTCAAGACTTTAAATCATAATTTTTCTTAGAAACTGAAAAGCATTTTAAAACAAAATAGACGGATTTTGATTTAAAATAAAATATTCAACTATAATTAGCGACTTAAAAATATGTTAACAACTATTAGGAGATAAATAAAAATAATATATTTATATAAAAATATATTTATATATATATATATAATATAATAATAATATTTATGTATAATTTTCTGAGCTGAGCCCAACCATATACAAATCATATACATATGAAATTTAAAAGTCTCAGCGGCTTACATAAAATTCAATTGATAAATTAAACTGCGCTGGCTAAAGGTTTGGATTCCAAACTGAATGTCAGCAGCTAACAATGAGATTTGAACAAGTATTGAACAGCGAACATGACTCACTGACAGTTTTCTAATTGCCGAATTTTGCACTCAGGGATTTCTGGTTTTTTTTTTATTTATTTTTTTTTTTTTGTCGTTTTCCACACTCTCTTGGCGAAGCACTGAGACCTACTCTGTTGGCTGGATTCACTTTGGCTATTTGCTGCAACTGCCTCAACCTTTCCTAATACAGTTGCGCCACACGTTTCACTTTTGTTGATTTTACGGCTGGCTTAACAATACTCAAAGCTAAAGCTTTAAATTTAAATTTAAGAAAAAGCGTTGTCTGCATTTCAATTTGGGAACTTTGCTTGTTCGCTTTTTCATTAATATTCGATAATTCCTTCGGTTGACTTACACAGAGAATAGTGGCTTATAAAATACTGAACATATCTTGGATTTAACATTCGAAATTTGGAAAAATTTTATATTGATCATTTGAGAAATGTTTCAAATTGTTGTGCTTGTGCTCTCGAGTTCGCTTATTTATTACGCTGCTAATGTTGATGAGCCTCTCGCAGGGTATAGCTGCTTGGTAATGGGATTATGTGCATTTGCAACAGGACTTTTGTATCAAAATGTGAGTTCCAATTTCGAGATGATAATCAAAATTTTAAACATTGTGCTGAGTTAAACAAGTTGAATAAAAAGATGTACATTTTTATTTAAAATTCGAAATAAAAAAATTAATAAATTAAAGAACATTTGCAGGTCAAATAAATAATTATGCAAGATGATGAAGATGAAGTTCAAGTTCCTAGGCAGTTGGTATATGAAAAAATGCGCAGACGAGCGATGTACGAGATGTACCATTGTGCACCTTGTGGGAACAACTGATCCTTGAATGCAACTCAAATTACTGAGTGTAAGTGTACTAACTATGATGAATCCTTAATGACTCGATGACTACTTGGCTTGGCGCCGTCTTGTGGTTGGTGTGGTGGGTGTGCCAGTCGGCGGTTTTGGTATCTGCAAGAACATAACAGATTTAAAATATACATATATATATATATATACTAAACTCGTATCCCATTTAATTTCACTTTCATCGGCTTACCGAACGTATGGGCTTGGGTGTGAGTGAATTGGCTGGCGGTGGCTCACGTGGCTGTGGCCCATCCGCATGCCCAACGACCGTAACGGCAACGGGTCTTTGCTCCGAGCTGGCTCGCTCCGTGCTCTCGCTGCGTGAAGTGGAGCCAGCTCGCTTAAACATCCCGGACAAGCGTCCACGTAGATCCTTTTTGCTTGATCGCATGTCGCTCGCTACGCTTATGTCTGAATCAGATCCTTGAATCTAAAATACAATGTGCATAGGCAAATAACTAGATATGAAAATGCATCCGAGTCTTTATATGAATTTGACCAAATTTCTTTCACAACTTTAATAAAATATGAAATTCTCTCCAATCCAATCATAACTTAAGTTAAAGTAAAGTTGATCTTGCGTCTAGTATATCAAGATACATAATAACATTATTATTCTTTATGTATACTCACCGATATTTCACTCTCGGAATTGCGACTGCTTTTAGTCAGACTGCGTAGCTTGCCCATAATACCCTTCTTCTTTTTGCGCGGTCCACGGGGCAAGTCACTTTGGGTGGAGCCACCTGACAGGCGGGAGTCGAGGCGCGAGTCCAAGCTGGAGTCGCGCACCATTCCGCCCAGCTCCGAGTCAATGGATTGTATGGACGACACGCTGCCATCATCTTGACGCCATATATTCTGCAATAAATACACCTTGGAATTAATCCGAGTTTCTTCTAAAAAGGAAAATGGTCAATGGCGTACCTGATCGCGTTGTATGGAGTGATCCAGGGAGAGACTCTTGCGTATCAGGCTGCCATTGTTGGAAGAATTGCGGGACAAACGTCCACCACGTTGGGAGCCTGCCGCACTGGCCACAGAACTCTGGCTGCCATGCGGATCATTCTCCTGCGAGGCGGCACGTCGCAGATTGCTGCGACGAATACGATTACGCTCCTGTTCGTCCTCGTTGACACGCTGGAACTTGCGCAGCTCCTCGGACGCTTCGGCCAAACGTGCCAAGACATTGGTGATCTGTGTGTTGGTCAACACTGGCGATGGACTTCGACTGCGTCGCACATTCGCCTGCTCCGGTCGCAGTTGATTCTCCCCATAGGACGGACTGCGTCCAGAGGAGCTGCCCACGATTTTTAAATCGGGAGCAATCTTGACCAGCTCGTCAACAGTCTGCAGAAGTGCACCCACTTTACGCTCACCACCATCCTGTTCCATGCGTCGCTTGATGAGTTCCTTTTCATAACGTTCTCGCTGCAAAAATTCAGAGAGTATAACAATAACATAAAGGACAAAGTTACAATAGCAGGTTGTAAGTTGAACACACCTCTCGCCGCAGCTTCTCGTTGGAGGTGCGCAGCTTGGCATGCACATCTCGCAGCTCCAGTAGATCGCACTGCAGCTCGGCAATCTTTTTCCGTCCCTCCTCCATTTCCTCTTCCGTCGAACGTTTGGTTTGATCCAGCTTTCGCTTGGACTCGAGTCGCTCTTTGTCCCGTTCGCGTTCCACCTCGAATAGGGTCTGTCGCAGGTCGCGAGCCAAGGTGGATGTCTCCTGCAGCAGACGTTGCTGATCCTCGCGCTCCTTTTGCCAGGACAGCTCCAGTTTGGTCTTCATGCCGGGTAGCTTTGTGCTGCCAGATCCAATGACACGTTCCTCCTCGAATTCGTTTAATTTTGACTGCATCTCGGATATTTTTATCTCATTCGCGCTGCGCTCGGACACAAGTTCCGTTTTGACTTTGCTAGACTCCAGACGGGATTCGACTAGCTGATCCTCAAGATGACCAATCTAAGAAGTGAAAATATAACACATTTTTAATATTAAATTTAATCCGGATTCGCATTGACAGCCGTTTTTTTTTAAATTTATAATTATTAGCTGCTTACCTGCTGCTCGAGATATGCAATCTTGCTCTTATCATCATCATCGCTGCTGTGGATGGAGCTGCGACTTTGACGACCCGTATTGTTAGCCTTGAGATCACCGATCTTCTTCTGCGCCACCTCGAGCATCTGCTTGAAGGCATCTCTATCTTTCTTGAAGCGTTCACATTGACGCTGCAATTTCATATTTAGATATATCGATGCATTGAGCTATTCATATAACATTTCGCTGTTCTCAATTACCTGCATGGATGTCAGTTCTCCACTGAGATTCTTCACCTGCTGCTCATAGCGTAGGCGCGTGGAGGCTACTTCGGATTTTAGCTGCAGTTCCGAGGCTTGCAATCTTTAATGAGATATCAAGTTTTGGCAAAATGAGTTGAAAGTTAATCCTATCATATATTTTCTTTCAGTTCGACAACCCACACCCAGAATGCTTCAAATTAATGCTAACCTAACTAAGCTTTACTACTCACTGTGTCTTCAAGTCCTTGATTTCAGCCTCGCGTCTGGCGCCATGACCGTTAAGGGATGATTGAGCCTGTTCGATGCGATTGAAATCGCTCAGTTTGCTATTCAGATCATCGTTGTCCTTACGCAACTGGAACACCAGATCGATATTCATTTCATTCTCCCGTCGCAGTCGCTCATATTCGTGCTCCTTCTCCGCCAGCTTGTTCTTCAACATGCTGCGCTCGTGTTCGCTGCTGCCGCCCGTCTTTAGGGTCTTCACCTCCAGGTCCTTGATCTTCTTCTGCGCCTCGTTCAACTTGCGGGCCATATCGGTGCGCTCAATGCGTATAGTGTCCATATCGGCAAGTTTATACTTGCTGGCATTCAGTTCGGACTGCAGGCTTTGCTTCTCCGTTGTTAGCTGGGCACGCATTAGGATCGTCTCTTCGGAGAGCTTCTCCCAATGGGTGTTCAATTCCTCGTAACGCTTCTGTTCCTCGCTGAGCGTTGTTTGTGCATCGTCCAGCTGTTTTTTCAGCTCCTGCACCTGTTTGCTGTCGGATTTGCTGGATTTGGCTTTCAGTTCCTTGATGTCCTTCTCGAGCGATGTTTTTGTTTTCTCTGCTGACTTTTTGGCACTTAGGAGTTCACTGTCCAATTGACTGATCTTCGATTCGAGTTTTTCACGCTCTTTATTTTGCTTCTCAAAGTCTTTCTCCAAGCTGGTGAATTTTTCCTTGTCCCGTTTGGATTGCGTCTCCAGTGTTGATTTGCTCGATTCGCTCTGCTTTAGCTGGCTATCTTGTTTCTTCAGCTTGTCTTCCAGTTCCTTGAGTTTTGTATTGAGCTTCTTGGCCTCCTCATCGCTAATCCTAAGCTTCTGTTCCAGCTCCTTCGTCTTGATGCTGCTGCCATTGAGCAGCTTCAAGCGCTGCACATCTCCCTCGGCCAGCGTCAGCTTTTGCTTACACTTCTGCAGCTCCTCTTCCAGGGAGTCCTTTGACGACTGCAGCGCCTTCAGTTGACTGACACCACTGCTGCCCAGCTGCACACGCATTTCGCTGATCTCGTCTTCTAGCTCCTCGACCCACTTCTTTAGATGACTCTTTGGCGTCAGATCGTTGACCCGTTTCGGTGTCCGAGCTGGCAACTTGCCCTCCGCCTCCACTTGCATTCGTTTCACCCGAGTCGTTAGTTCATCGCGTTCCTTCTGTGCCTGTGCCAGTGCCTCCTTCAGCTTGGGCAACTCTGAGTCACCATTCTTTTCGGTGGAGCTCGCCCTACGTAGCGTTTGCAGCTGCAGGCGCTTATTCTCCTTGGCCAGTTTGTCGTTATCGGTCTCCAGCGTTGCCAGCTTGGCGATCTGTGACCGCATTGTGTCCATACTTTGTTCCTTATCTTGCAGGCTCTTGCGCATCTGGGTCAGCTCATCGTTGAGCGTCTTTAGTTTCTTCTCAGCGACGCTGGAGGAGCTGCCGAAACTTAGCAGTGAACTCTTGCTGCCATTGCTGTTATCCTGGCGCAGTTTCGTTTGCAATTCACGCACATATTTCTTGGACTCGGCATTTTCCTTCTCTAGCTCCTCAACTTTTAGGCGCAGTATTGAGGCTTCCTGCTCATTCAGTTCGAGTAGAATGCGCAGCTCGGCGGGATCATCCTCGTCGGAAATGCCCTCATCGCGATCCGCATGCACCTCGGGCGCCAATCGATGTGGATGCGGAGCAGGACTCAGTTTGCGAGCTGATGAAAATTCAAATAATTAGCAACATATCTATTTATATTGAAGATTGGTGTTACTTAATAGCATGCCAGGCTTTCAAGCATTTTTATTAGTTACAATGTTAGTGGCAATTGTTGTTTGATCTGTCACAAAACATGAGCAGCCGCAAAAAATGGCAATTTATGTTTAAATTCCATTCATTAGTAAGCGCATGAGAAATAACGTTAGTTTGAAAGAAAATATTTTAGATTGTTACAGTGGTCGCTCGCAAAATAAGACTTTTCAGTTCCAGATTTCTACAACTCAATTTTTCAAAGAAAACAAAGTGAAAACTAACTTTTTCATAGAGTTTGTTCTAAATCATATAGTCAAAGTGCTTAAGCACATTTAATTATTTTCTTGACAAGTCCTATTTCTGAAAGTTCCACTTTTCCGTGCGATCAATGTAATACCAAATACAAGATTCAATTTAATTGGGATTTGACGAGTACTCAATTAAAGCAAACTATTTCTGCAAGCTCTTTAAACTTTAATCTTTATCCCATTTAAATCGCGTCATGCTTTAATTATCTGATATTAGTAAATGGTAAAAAAAAAATGTATAAGTAATTATTATATGTCTTTCAAATCGTATTGTTTTTTGTCATGGGTTTTACATTGAGAACGATTTTGATCGTACTTCTTGAGCGCGTTGCCATTTTTTTCAACTGCATCATCAAAGACTCATTTTCATCCTCGAATCGAGTCACCTTTTTCCTCAAATGTTCAGCCTGAAATGTAAAACATACATTTGCGATATGTTAAATATGCGGTTTGTCAATTCAATTAAATCCATTTCTACAAATTCGTATTCGAGGATAAAAACTGGGCCCTGTTAAGTGCTAACAATAAGCTGCTGGACGATAATGCTATCATCTACAGGGTTAGCATTGAATAAGAAACAAGAAACCAAGAAAAAAAAAACACATTTTTACAATTAGACACGAACAGAGTGAATTAATAAGTTGAACTACTACTACATGTAGATATAGACCCAAACCAGCAAAGACCTTAACAGAAGCAAGACTACACAATCCTATTCAAATGAAAGTGTTTTTCAGATAATCCTAGAAATAAATTTAAAATTCATTCAAACTATGTTTTCTTGAGTCTTTTTTCTGTATTATATTTAAATTTGCCCACATGTTTTTCAAATACACCTCAGTCCCTACTCAGCCGCCAACTACAATTATAATACCATAAACCTTATCACATATTTTAACAAGTTTTTAGAGAGGACTCTTACAAGGAAGCGACTTTTGTTATAATCATGTTAAAAACCTATAAATTCCTATTTAAATTCATTTTGAAAACAATAATAAATGAACTGCATTTTGTTATATTCTAAAACACTTCTGTGGTCATTGCTGGTGAGATCTTAAGGAGTTAGAGTTGAGCTGGGTACCTGCACTAGCTCCTGCCAAAAGCACATGAGACATGGCGCTCGGAAAAAGCAAAGAAGTTGAATTCACAACCCTGGTTGCAGCTGTGGGTGCAAAGAGTGACACAAACGGTGAAGTTTCACGTTCAACGGAAAGATTTCTGGCGCTCAGCTCGAAGTTGGTCTGTGTGGCATTGTCGCAAGACTCGACCACGCTAGTTTGTGTTTGCCCAGTCAGGGTGTCTGGCTTGGACGTTGTATTGCTGGCGGCATCAGTTTGAACTATTTGCGGCGTCTGTGTGGCACGGGGAAACGCTAAAGGAATCGCCAGCAGATCACCAGTTTGGGTGCCACGATTCAGTTGGGTGCCACGATTTCTAGATGCCCTCAATGCCTTAAGCTGACGACACTTCGCGTAAAGGTTGGCAAGTGATTAAAGTCATATTAATTGTATTTGTTTTCTGTGTATAAACTTACTTCCTCTTCGGCAAATTTGAGTTGATCCTTCAGATCTGTCTCTCGCTCAATGGAGTCCTGCAGCTCGCGCTGTAAGTGCTGCGGATCTTCTTGTGAGCCGCCACGCGTCAAAGACTCTCTCGTGATTTTTGCATCGGCTGACGTCGATTTGCCCAGTACACCCAACATGGGTGCCTTCTTTTTGCCCGGATTACGCAGCTCCTCAGCCTCAGTCTGTTATGTTTAAATTATTGCATTAGATAAATCAATTTTAAATTGTCTTATTAAGTGGACGCACCTGCAGCTTGCGTGTTAGCTCGCTGGAGAAGCGCAGCTCCTCCTCCAGCTTTTTGACCTTGGCACACAGCTCCGCATTGTAGGAGCTTTGCATTTCCAGTTCGAGCGTTTCGATTTTGCGTTCGCTCTTCTTCAGCTTGAAGCTGAGAATGCGACAGTTTTTGGTTGACTTCTCGAGATCCTTTTGCAGATTCGTTTTGGCCTTGACTTCGTCGTCGCGAAACGTGTCCTGTACCTCATCCATTTCCGCCTGCAAATTGAGTATTTCCTTTTTGGCCGTTTGATTCTCCTCCATCAGCTCCTCGCAGATTTGCTCGGCGGCCTGCAGCTTGCGCTTCAGCTCGGACGTGCTGTCTTTGTGCTCCATCTCCTTCATGCGCAAATTCAGTTTGCGTTTGTCTTCCGTCACCCGATCCAGCTGGTCCTTCATCTCATTCTTTCTGCTGCAGATTCAGCGCCTCCGAGGCAGCCGTGCGATTCGAGGCGGTGTCCATCGATGCCAATCTTCGCAGCAGTATATCGCTCTTCTCACGCTCGGCCCGCTCAGCCCGCGTCTTCATTGCCTCAAGATCCGTGCGCAGCGCTGCCATTTGTTCCTTTAATGCACTTGCACCCACTGTTGTTGCTATTGGTGTTGATGCAGTTGCAGCTGCCGCTGGTACGGTTTGTCTTTTGATATCCTTGCCATTGCTGTTTTCCATTTCCTTGCGACGCGAACTGCTCAAACTGTTGCTGGATGATGATGATGATGATGATGAGACTTTGACTTCTGTCGGAATTGTGGCAACTGATTTAGGTTTTGTAGTCGCTGCTGCGGTTGTTGCGGTTGTTGTGGCATTTTGATTGGCTGTAGTTGTCACAGCCGCTACCTTCTTGGGTGGCAGGGAGGCGCGTTTAAGTTCCGCCTGCTGGTTGATCGATGTGCCAGATTTGCTCCTCTCCGGTCGATCCGGTGGCGACAATGTGGCCTCGCTTTCCCTGCAAAACACTTGGCTTTAATACTAACTTTAATCTTTGCTGGCACTTACTCATCCTTGCGTGGCGTGGAGCGTTCCCGACTGTTCTCCCTTGAATTGAGGCTACGATGCTTCTTTAGCAGATTCATTTTGCGCACACGCTCGGCAAGACTGTCTGTCGATAGGATGACTAGCTCATCTGGAATACTTGAAGTTTTACTGGGGGAGGATGTGACTCGGTCCTGCGTAAGTGTGTGGTCCACCTGCAAAATGAGTATAACACTTCAATATTGAGTCTGTAGGTGTGATTTGTTTGGTAAGAGTTAAAGCCTTTCTGGTATTGGTTTGACTCCATGAAAAATATTGCATTAACCAACAAACCCGTTCAGTTCTGACAAATGAGCTTACCTCATTGATGTCCAAGGCGGTTGTGTGGCGTCGTGGCGGCACAGGTAGCTTCAGGGTGACCGCCACATTGTGATCGTCGTTTGGACGTGAGGATGTCGCCGTCGTTGCTGAGGCTGAGGCTGAGGACGCAGCGGATGAGCGTCCCGGTCCATGCGATGCCTCATCAACGTCCGGTGTTGAGGCCCAGGACTGCGGACGCTTCTTTAGCTCTACATTGAAGTGTACAACTGGGTTCAGTAAATGCGTCAAGGGCAGCAAATGCAAATGTTAGCAGCGCATTGACCATCAACATCAACATCAACAACAACAACATTGTGTTGGGTCACAATCACGATCACAGTCACGTTTAGAGTCACAGTTTTGATACGTTTATTCGGCGATAGGCGTGTCCATAAGCCCGTGTCAAATGAATGAGCGTTGACCAACCAAATGTGCCGTTAGATGTTTGTTACGAAAACAGTGCGGTAAAAACGGATAACGTCAGCGCAACAGCAACAGCAACAGCATAGAACACACACGATGTTGTTGTGGGGTAGTACAGAACAGTGTTAACGGGCGTTATGCAGATTAGTGTTGAACAGTGAGAAGAGCACGATAGAGACAGATAGATAGATAAAGAGACACAGAGAGAGAGCGAGAGAGACAGAGCGATAGTGATACCAGCACAAGGTACAGTAAAGTTGGTGCAAAATACCGTTTAAAATCGTGAGGGATACATATAAAAAAACGAGAAAGAACAAGAGTTATGTATGTATGTATATCTTCGGCATGCCGAAGGTGTATTCCCCTTGCAGATATATTGATTAAAGTAATCAGCGAAAAGTATAACGATTGCAGCTGGGCAAAATAATGCATTTTAAATATTAACTTATACATAAATTTGATTGATTATTCCTGAATTGTAACAAGATGTAATCTTGTAAGTAATCAATTTTTTTCAATCCGAATTATTTCAATTCCACTTTTGGACCATTTGCCGACATGCAGCAGACAATTACTTTAGATGTTTATGTCAATTTCAATATTTTCTGCATGGTTATAAATTGTTGTATTTTTTCTGAGTTGCTGAGGCATCCTATTGGAATGCTAACAGTATATGATTTTTTACTAAGATGAAACGAGTGAATCACAAAAAACACAAATTATCACTTTAAAAAAAGCCACATGTCTAAGAATCAATCTTTGAAAATTAGAATAATATGACAACAAAAATGTATTTAATAAATTCCTCAACTATGTATATATATGAATAAGGTTTGAGTTCATACAACGAAATGCATTATAGAATCACAAATTCATTAAAATTGTGCTCCTAAAATCCTAAAATCTGTACCACAATTTACATTCAATTCGTTTTTAACATTGATCAATTAACTAAATAACATGAAACATTAAAATTTTTTAGTTCGAATTACGATAATTTTTAAAACAAAAAGCAATGGAAAGTTATCCAATTGAGATTAAACATAAAACACTATTAAATCTCAACAATTTTTCGCAAAACTACACTCTAGTCATAAATAAGAGCATTCCAAGTGTGTAATATCTATTAATAAGTTTTATGCACCATATTTACTAAAAATACTTTCAAGCTATTATTATTAATAGTTATTACTAAATAAAAAAGCTTTCCAAAATCTAACTATAGCGTTTTCAACTTCTACTCAACAAGAGTTATACGAAATAAGTAAGTTTATATATAACCTGTGGATCATACCTATGTCATTACTGTTGTTTGTGTTTAAACTTGATAAATTCGTCGTGGATGTCCATGTACGTGATGTGGGCCTGTGGAGCATTTAAATTTATCAAAAACTGCAGTGTATATATATACATATGTATATCGAAGTATTTACTCACCGGGCACTTTGGGCATCTGAAAGATTTGGCGAGGAGGCGGCCACATCGTCGCCCCCTCTTCGTGCGCCATGTTCTTTGTAATCACGAAAACAACGCTTGCATCTTGTGGGATAACGCGTCTGGGGATGAAACCCAAGTGGGCAGAGCTGGTCGCCTTTCAGCGATGGGTACAGATGATGCATCTGTCTTTATATAAATTGTCAGCTTTGCCTTTTCTGTAAATTATCGAAACAAATTTCCTTCAACTATATTTTGAAATGCCGGAAACTATAATATCTAAATATATATTGATTATCAAATTACCTAAAATCTTTGTTTTGTATGTGTAAAAGTTAAATCAATGTAGTATATTGATTATCACATTACTTAACATTTTAGTTTGGTATGTATAAAGGTCAAATAAATTTGTCTTTTTATATGATTTCCAATTATTTTCACCAGTTGGCAACAGCCAACTTTTTTCTTTATCAAAGCTATGCACCTTCTGTTTTGCAGTGGACACTTTCATATGCAGGGCACCAACTAAATTCGTACGTTTTCATTTTAAACAACTAAGTGGAATTTTGGCAATGAGCCAAGTAAGCTAAAGAATGTTGTACATAAAATGTAGAACATTCGCATCCTCGCATGTATTGGTTATTCCGTAATTCTGTAAACTCATCAAACATGCCTGGTTCACAATCGATCTTAAACGATTTACTTATTTTCTATTTGACACGGATCAATAAGCCTTGAAGAATTTTTATATTCTAATTAATTGTTAGCTACAATTTATACGTTGATAGCAGAATCTCAAAGTAAATTTAAAAATAAATTTATTATAAACAAAGATACATTTATAGATTGGAAAAGTAAATAGTGGACACATATTTGCACAATAGAAATATGTTTATTGAAATTGATCAATCAAAAAGTTTATTCATGAGACGAAATTTTAAATTTTTACAAGCAAAAATTTAAACAAATTCACATAAGCACAAAATCAGATAGATTTCTTAATTCACTTCAAAAGTTCACAATTATGAAAAATAAATTTCGAAATACATAATTGAAAAATTAATTGAAATTTATGAGCTACGAAATATGGTTGGAAACACCTTCCGTCTAAGCACACCTGATAAAATAGAGATGGACTTGCTTCACTGTTTATATAGATTAGCAAGAGTTTATTTGTAAATATAAACAATAACAAATGTTTACACTTATTTCATATATTTTTAGAAAGAGAGCGAGTGAGAGAGACGTAAGCGAGAGTAATGAAGAGAAACCTGGCGCTCTTCACAGATGGAAATCGCGCAGGCAACAAACGTAAAGTTTGCGCATGTTTTCCGGCAATTAAAAGAATCAAGAAAAACGCTGGCGTAGAAAAATTGAGTTATAAAATAAACTCACTCAAAGGAGAGAAGCACCACTTGACAGATAAAACTTGTTGAGTTCTCTTCGATAGACTACTGTGAGAGTGCGCCCTGGGATAAATCTCTTTTATAAGGGGCGCAACATTGCAAATCCCTAGCACGTTAAAAATAATTATAAACGTTTTTAACCTAAGTATGCATACATATAGTGTATATATATATATAAATTGGATGTCGCGATCGGTTGCAAATTTAGAACATTTTACTTACAGCAAAAAGATTCTGCATTTAAATGAATTTGAAGCTGGGCAAGTGGGAATGGGGCCACGGCACAGCTGCTGCATCTGCTCCGGACCTGTGAGATGCCCACAAACTGTGCGAAACTTTTCATTTACCAAACGGTTAATTGCGTAACCGTGTCTCTATGCGCCCTGATCGGTTAGCAGTTTCAGCTTCTTGATTCCCTTTAATTTGCACATATGGTATTCGAAAAATTTATATTTATTTATTTATTCACTTGCTAAATAGATACTTTGTGTGGTTAAATTTTGTTTTTAATTATTTGGATTTTTATTTATTTATTTTTTTTTTTTTGTTGTAAAGATCTTTTGAATTTCACGTTTGAGTGTTTGATTCCATTTTGGAATATTCACTTTATTCAAAATTTACGGCTGAAAAATTAGCTGTGTTTTAAAAATAGAACACATTTTTCGTAAATGGCAGCGCACTTTCAATATATCCCATTTAAAGATTTCAAATGCAATCTTTCTAACTTATCTTTTAGTAGTTGCCAAAAAAGATTATAAAATATTTGTTTACTTTTTAATTACAAATATGATAAATTCACAGCGAACAACTTTTCCAAAGATGAATTTTCACATATGCACTTATACATATATGCAGACATATATGTATGGGATTTTCTTTTTCGTTTTTCATATAACATCGATCGCTTGAGCACTCGAAATATACTTATACAGATCGCTGCATCTCTTTCGCACCAATTGCACAGACGAACCGTTTTCCGGGCTGTCGCGAATCTACGTATTTAACGTTGTGATCTTTTTGAAAATCGACGAGAAACTAATTTTAAATAAATTCAAAAAGCTCAAGCTAGCCGCAGAGAATACAAAATATTCAACCATAGACATTTCCTCTCTGAAGAGACTCTCTCTCTCTCTCTGTCTTTCATTTGGAATTCAACAGACTTCAAAAGAGATCAGTTTTGGATCAGAATGGTACTCTGTTGCATATTATAAACATTTTTCCATTGCCTAGTAACAATAGTATAAATATTTAAAACATTTTCTGATTAATAAATGTATTTGCGAGAGACATTCCTAAATCATTTAATTTGTTATTTTCAGTAACTACAATTCCACATTCGCATTCAAGCTTAACAATCATCATGTCCAGGAACATAGACATAGAATATCTTAGATGAATATAATGGTTTCAAGAGTTTCTATTATGGTATTTATTAAGAAATCATAAGTCGACAGAGTACAACATGGATTACAAAGTGTGAGTGTGTTTTAGATTTTGATGAGCGCTCGTTCAGTTGCTCTATGTAAAGACATTATATTTGAATGTAGTATGTATAAATTACTTAGAGATTATTAGTCGCTATGAACTAATGCAGAGTAATCATATAATGTATGAGTGTATATATGAATGTTAGTGGGTGGATTTATGTGTGTAGAAAAGTGTATGTATGTTGTTAATAAGATGAATGCATTGCGCCGGAAATCAAAGAGGTGCTCTTAAGCAAATACAAATTAACAATGATTGACTGGTGATGACGACAATGACAATGACAATGACATTGCAATCTAAACACTGCTGTATCAGCACCGATCATGTTGCATTGCCACCCACACCGACTGCACCCACAATGGGCAGCGTGTGCTCCTCATCCAAGTCGTTTGGCGTCGTCACCGCCGCCGACCCCGCAGATGTCACGGCCGTCACGGTCGCTTTACCACTCTCCGGCGTGCTATGTGCAGCAGGACCATTGTTATTTTCATTGGCGATTGAGTTTTCCACAGCATCCACAGTAGCAGCGACGACTGCGGCAGCATCTCCAACTGTGTTGGTCAGCTGAGCAACGCTGGGCGCACTGTTGGCTGAAATATTGCTGGGCAGCTCGGGGCTGCTGTACATCTGTATGACTGAATTGTTGTTCATGTTCTCCACTGAAGCACCCGATATGGACAAATCATCCGCCGAGTCATCCGCCTGGTTGTCCGTCTGCACCGCCTTTTCCTCGAGCATATGATCACCCTCGCGTATCGGCCGTTGCGCCGATCCAAACTGCTTGGAGATCTGCAGCAGTTCGCGCAGCGTTTCGTTCTCCATGCGCAGCTGTGATATTGTCTGCAGTTCCCGCTGCACATTTTCATCGTCTGCAGTGGCCGCCCGATGCATAACCGCTGCCATTTCGTTGATTTTGTCGCGTTGATCGCGTATCACCTGCCACAGGCGTTCGTTGTACAGCTCCTTAAAGTTGAATTTGCTGTCCAGCACCTTGGTTACTGTGTGTTCGCGGTACTTTTGCATCATCAGTTCCATTGCGCGTTCGTAGTCCTCAATACAAATTTTGAGCTCGCGATTCTCTTTCAGTATCTCGGAGCTGTTAACATTCTGTTGCTGTATGCGATTCACCATGTCCACATTTGTTTTGTTATTCGAGATGCGATTCAGTGACTCAATATCGTCCTGGTATTGCCGCAAACTCTCCACCAGCCGATTATTGGTCTCTGCCTCCTCCAGCAGTGCGGTGCCCAGTGCATCCAAATCCTTGACGCGACTGGCCATCCGCTGTGCGTCCATTATCATCTGTCCCACTGATAGGTTCGACATGTTGCCGTTCCACCTGGCCTCTCTCTGTCTCCGTCTCCGTCTCTCGTTATCTCTCACAGTACAGATACTTCCGCCTAATATTCCAATTCCAATTCCTTTTGTTTGCAGCAGGCTGGGCTATCTGTAACAATGGACAAGTTTAGCTTGGCTACCACTTCTTAGCGTGCATAAATTTACGTGTATGGGTTGTGAATTATTTATTATAATTGGGCCTTGCACCTTTTGCCAATCATTTAAATTTTACAAACAAACAAAAACCACCAAATTATGTTACTATTAGAAATTTTGGTGCGACCCAATTATTATAGGTGGTTTGACAGATGACAGCTGACAAGGTTGCCAACGTTTTCTCAAACAGACTTGTATTTTATGCTATCGGTCGACCACCCAAAAATGGTTATCGATTTTTTCAATTTCAAATATACACGCAAACTGAATTGTGGTTATTTGATTTGATTCTTTATTATTTTGATTTTAAATGGGAAAATGTTGAATGAATAAAAGTTCTTGTACAAGCGTCTCCAAGAATATATAACAGCTAGATTTTTTTTCCGAAAAGTCAGCAAATTTTATTGTCTTTTTGCTTTTACAAAACTATGAAGCTATCAGTACAAAATTTCAACTTATATCAGAAAATGGAAGACTAACTATGTTAAGTGTTAACACTAAACTATTAAAATGCATTTCAGAGCTAATTAAATTCCACATAAATATATGTAAGACATATAAACTAAGAAGTAGAAATCTTATTAAGTACTTTGAAGCTAACATTTAAGTACAAACGTTTTAAGTAAATGTCATTCGAGTTTTTAAAGTAAAAAAAAACAGAGGTAGAGGAAAAGCATACATCAGGATATACATGCATCTATACATATGAACATAGACTAAAGATCACGAGTTTATACGCCAACGCTATTTAGGCTGCCCGAGGAAAGATTCTCCGAGCGGCTAGACAAACGGGCGCGTTTGAGTATTACACGGCCAGGCTTATTCGACGCCTGCAGACGGGGACTGTCCGCGGTGGAACCATCTGTTGGCTGATTTAGATTGTTATTGTTGGTGCCAGAGCCGGCGCCGCCACCAGCAGCAGCGGCACGTTCCAGCGTGCGCTGTGAGCGACGCAGCGAAGAGGATGACATGCGTGCCATTCCGTTAAAGCCTAACGCTTCGGCATCGTAGACAACGGGCGGACGTTGAAAGTAACTCATATCATTGTCCTGTGTGTCCTTCTCCTCGTGCTGCTGCTGTTGTTGTTGCTGCTGCTGCTGTTGCTGCTGTTGTTGCTGTTGCGCCAGCGGATTCAAAGTAATGTGCAGATGTCGCGTACGTGGCTTATTCGGCGAACAAGTGTTCAACGGCACAAAGTCTTCGCGAAGTTCGGCCAATCGTGGTTTGTTTTGTTGGTTGGTGCCGCGAGAGCTTCGTCGCCGGCACAGACACAGACAGGCGCTGACCACGAGCAACACCAGCAACGCACCACCGCCAATTGTCCCGGTGAGCAACGGATTCAAGTTGAACGTTTCATTGTGACTGGGCGTCGTTGTGTCCATTGCATGCACAGCCGGCTCTGTTGTTGTGCTCACTCTGGGACGCTGTGTCCGTCCCTGCTTGAGAGCACTAAATTCGGAGGCGGCAACGGCGCTAAATGATTGCAGTTTAAATTCGTAAATGGTCCCCGGCTCAAGGGCAGAGATTTGAAAGCTACGCGACTTGGCCCCATCTATTGTGGCCTTTAGATACTCCCCAGCCGATGCAGAGGGGCGATAATAAGCATAGTAGCCAGATATTAAATCCTCATCGGCATCGCTGGTTAGATCCCAGTGGAGAACGACAGCCGTCTGCGAGTACTCCTCAATGTCCACCAGCGACGGTACAGCCAATGGTGCCAGCGTTGCGCCACGCTGCAAAAAGAACTTGCCGGATGTGTTGCTCTCCTTGTTGTCGTTGTTCGAATAGACGGCCATGATCCGAAAACGATATCTGCGATCCGGTCGCAGACCCGTCACCGATGACGTAAAGTTCTTAACTGCAAAAAGAAATTTGGAATCGTTCATGTCGAGTATATGCAAGAGGTAGTTGAGTCGCATGCTTACCCGCTCCGTAATCGTTGCGCTCCTTGCCGTATGGTATATTCTCGTTGGTTGTCTGCCAACTCTTGCCCGTACCCGTTAGCATTCTGTACTGCACCTTGAAGAACTTAATGGGTAAACCCTCGTTGGGCATCACATGCCAACGCAGCATCACAGACTCATCCGACAGACGAGTGACATTCGGAGCCGATGGTGGCACCATTTGTGTCTGTTGCTTCTGCTTGCGGCCGAACATATGCTGTTGAGGTCGAACATATGCCCGACTCCCCCCACCACCATCACCAGTTTGTATTTGTGTGGGATTGACTTGGAGGATGGTGCCAGCACTGTCCTCGCCGAGACTATTCCGTGCAAAGCATTGCACATAACCAGCGTGTCGCTTCTGAACACTCTGCAGGATTAGGATACCATTTGAACCCGGATTCGCTTTGCTATCGTTGGCGCTATTGTTTCCATTGAGCAGCCAGTAAATCTCTGGCTCAGGTATGCCAGTGGCAACACATTCCAATTGCATGGCTTCGCCCTCATTGGTGAGATTGGCGCTGGGAGCGAGCACAATACGAGGGGCCTGCTGCACCAGCAGCTGAATGGAGTGCTTCAGTGCTGGCCGTATGCCATTGTCCAGATAACATATATAGGTACCACCATCCAGCGCCTGCAGTTCATTTATTTGCAGACCATATGGCAGGACACGTGTGCGATTATTTTTAATGGCGCCGGGCACATTGGGACTGCTCCAGATAGCCGTCGGCGATGGACAGCCCACACCGGGACACAACAACAGCACAGATTCACCAACCCTGGCGACTTTAGTGCGCACACGTTGTCCATCGAGGAGATGAGGAGCTGTCGCTGGCATCGCCTCCGCAGACACTTGCAGTTCCAATCGGCTTGGCAACGCCAGACGTACTCCCGAAGCGGTATTGGTTGCCACACATCTGTAACTGCCGCTGCTCGCCACGGAGACGTTGGACAGGAGCAGCGTACCATTTGAGTCACTTAGCGTAGATGCTGCCGGCAACTCAATATCATTATAATAAAAGCTCCAGCTGGGCGCTGGATTCGATTCGATGTGGCCGCAATGCCACTGAACAGTATTGCCGGCTGTAACGCGCCAATGCGCTTGATTGCCCTTGAATCCTTCGTCGCCGCCGCCGCCGCTCAACGCGGCCAGCTCCAAGCGAGCCGTAGTCGAGGTGACTGCGAGCGGTCCAAACCAGGCGACACAACGATATTCGCCGAGCGTTTCAAGACTCACAACGACGCGCAGCTTGGATATATCATTGTCGTGGGTGATGCTTATATTATGATTGCCCGACTTTAGATATCTAAAGCGGGACCGACTCGAGGCGTAACTCCACTCGAAATGCTCCGGCGGCAAACTGGTCTCGCATACGAAAACGACCTCGTCGCCAGGTGGCGCCACCGTCGATTCGGGCGATCGAAGTATTCGCACGCCTGGGTCTGGCGACGCCAAATAAACCGGAATTGCTGCAAGCAACAACGTCAGCAGCAAGCACAAACTGAACCGCGTCAGAGACATTTTATGGAGCGCTGATGCTGTAAATTGAAACGGTGCAAGAATTAACGATTGCAACGCCAAATTTATAAATCTATATAAATAAACATATTCACATCTATAAGTAAACTTTGTTTTGACAAAGGAAATATTAATATTTCTTCATTTCTTTTGCACAGAAGAATACTTTATTAGTGTGTTATTTTTTTTATCTTTCTGGAATTTTGTAGGCTTATCAGAACCAGTTTTTAAAAATTATTACTCATTATTATTATTCATTATTATTCAAAAAAGAGATAAGCAATATTATAGTACTTCGCAGAGACGCCTTTGGCTGCAGACTTTTGTTGTATTTTAAAATGTCCTCGCTTACGCATGCTTACCTGCTGTTTACCTGTTGCGTATTGCTTTTGTCTCGTTTCGTTTTTCTTCTCTTAAAAGGCTCTTTGCATTTGCGCTTGCGCACAGACTGACGCTGCTTTCCTTTGCCGTTCTTATATATTTAATATTCACTCATGATAAGCTCGACAAGTGCTTGCGAGGAACTGAGTTAATCTTAGTTTATTTTTGCTTGTGGTGCACATACACTTAACTTGTACAAATCAACAACATTATTTTGCCATTCGTCATCGAAATTTGATGCTGCGATACTCGACAGAGACGCCTGCTCAAGTGTACTGGTTCACATTCAGCTCACAATCTTTCGACTGGTTCAATAGTTCATTAAGCATGTGTGTGTGTGCGTGTTTGGCACATACCTCTGGCTTATACATATGTGAGAAGTGCATACCCAGGTGGAATTAGTTGAGTGCAGTTACTTTCTGCATTGTACTGAGAGAATTACATATTTCTAACTTTTAAAATTGCGACATACAATTCCACTTAAAATATTAGAAAAAATAAAATAAGTAAAGTTCAGATTTATTATTAAAATCAACAACTATCAATACAAATGTAATATTACTTTACAGCTGATTTATTTTTAATCCGAAGAGAGTTATCCTTAACGTACTTTAGTAAATTTAAATATATTTTAATTTAAATATATAGCGCATTAGGCAGGTGGCTTTTGTACTTTCGCTAGCTCTGCCTTAAATTTCACAATTGTCTCACGAGCGAGTTTTAGCTTATCCTTTAGGGTCACAATCTCTCCCTTAACCTTTTGCTTTACATTGACAATGTTGTCCAGTGTTTTGCACTTTTTCTCCTCAACTGCAATGTGTAAGAGAAGTGTTATATGTTGAAAGATTATAATGAACTAAGGTTTTGATTTACAATCTGTGTCATGGTTAAGCAAGCCATTGGCACTTTGTTCCGAAAGCAGCAGATAATGCTGCATAATTTGTGTGGGCTCTTGGAAAACAATTTCCTCGTATGCCTCAGATACCAGGCCCTTCTTTGTGTCCATCGTTGTCGAGGAGGTCAGCTCACCATCCACAACAGGTGATTGGAAGAGCTTTAAAATGTGATAGCAAGTCACTGGACGTTCAGAGGGATCATTAAAGTAGATCTTAATGACAACCTCAAATTCACCCCATCCAGTCTCTGTGACTTCATAGGGGGGCTTAATCACAATGCGATTGGGATTCGCATAGCTCTCGTGCAGCTTAAAGTGTACTTTCTTCACGTAAATCGACATATCCTCATCATAGTAAGGCTTCAGATAAACCTGCCATTGGTGCGTGTGGCCATCCTCTTCCCGCTTCTTTCCAAATGACCGTGCCTTGTTCCCATAGACAATTGGCTTCACAATTGTCACGCCTTTTAGTCGTCCGCCCGAGTCGCCACCAAAATCAGTCATATTTATTAGTTATAATTGTTATTTGTATCACAATTCCTTTTTGTTATTAATGTGCTCAAAACCAAAACAGACGCTGCTTCTGTTTCTTTCGCTATCGATAAATATACCAAGGCGATGGTTTTTCGCTGTCATCCCTAGCTTTTGCGTGTTTACTTATTACCCTATCAGAACAATTAACATGTCGTGATGTTTGTAACACATCTAAACTGATATTTATATATATTCTTGATTAGCATGGTTGGCAGAGTCAATATTACCATGTCCATCCGTGTGTCTGACCTTTTATAGCATGTAGTGTGTATGAGTTCTAATAGTATATTGTACCAAATTGAGTTCCCAGCGGGCTGGAAGGGTATGCAATCTTTAGGGTGCGTAAATATTCTTTCATTTTCTTCTTCCTAAGAAGTTCTTAGTATTTTTCATGCTATCGATATATCGATATGAAATCGCTATTAGTTTTTGCTTCCATCCCTAGATGTGGTTTTTCCTCAACGCTATTCGCCGTTTTTTCTCTTAGTCGCAGAAACATTTGTTTATTGATAAAAATAAACAAATTAAATTAAATTTTTCGAAAAGCGCCACCTTACTGATAACCACAATATGATGGCTCGGCGCGGGGGAAAGCGCATACGTATGGATGATCCGCCTCCAGCACCAGAATACGACGAACTGCACAGGTAAATAGATTGCAAACAAAAACTAAAAAAAAAACGTATTTAATAATTTTCACTCAATTGGCCCAGTGATGCTTTAAATGAGAGCGCATCTGATGCGGACAGTCCCACCAAACGGATGACGCGGCTTCGTGCTCGGGGTGGCGTTCGCGACAAGCCGCCAATTATCGATGACGACGAGGATGAGTTTTTTGCGCCAGTTTCACGAAAACGGAAAACGCCACAAACTCGCCGACCACCAGCAGAACGTAAGGAAAGGATTGAGCGGCCTCGCAAAGAGCCCGTGGAAAAGGCTAACCACGAGCGCATCGATAATGAACGCGAAATTACCACAGACGAGAACAGCTTATACTACATTGTCCGACACTCGAAGAATCCGATTGCGGTAAGCAAAATAAATGTAAAAAGTTATTGCTAAGCTAATTATAATTTTGTTGTTAATTGGATCGGCTATTGTTACAAACAGAATTACTTAACTAACTAAACCCTCAATTTTAACGCAGAGCATTGTAGACCAATGGATCGAGCAATACAAGTCAAATCGCGAAACTGCGCTCGTCGCATTAATGCAATTCTTTATAAATGCCAGCGGCTGCAAGGGAAAAATATCGGAGGATATAAAATATCCTGTTGATCATACGGCAATTATACGCCGCATGACAGAGGAATTTGATGAGGTAATCAACAATAATTGTTGTACAATAAAAATACGTTGATAAAAATGCAATTTAATATGTTTTAGGAAAGTGGTGAATATCCATTAATTATGACCGGAACGCAATGGAAGAAATTCAAGAATAACTTTTGTGATTTTGTGCAAACGCTTGTTAAACAATGCCAGTATTCCATTATATACGATCAGTTTCTAATGGATAACGTAATCTCATTGTTGACGGGTTTGTCCGACTCTCAAGTGCGAGCCTTTCGCCACACTGCAACACTGGCAGCCATGAAATTGATGACTGCCTTGGTGGATGTTGCCCTCCTTGTGTCAAACAATTTTGAAAATGCAGCTAAACAATTTGAAGCTGAACGTGTCAAGGTAAGTTGACTTGACTGTAATTCATACGATAGTGCAACTTATATCATAATCATCTATTATTTCTTTATTTACGAAGTCCCGCGATCGTCGCGCTTCAGATCGATTGGACTCATTGATGACGAAACGTTCCGAGCTGGAGGAGAATATGGATGAAATAAAAAGCATGTTAACCTATATGTTTAAATCGGTATTTGTGCATCGCTACAGGGATACTCTGCCGGATATTAGAGCCATTTGCATGGCTGAGATTGGCATCTGGATGGAAAACTATCCACAAAATTTCTTAGATGATTCCTATCTAAAATATATTGGCTGGACGTTACACGATAAAATTGGTGAAGTGCGCCTACGTTGTCTGCAATCGTTGCTGCCGCTCTATGATAAGGAGGAGCTGAAGGGTAAACTGGAGCTTTTTACATCGAAGTTCAAGGACAGAATTGTGGCTATGACGCTGGACAAGGAATTTGAGGTGTCCGTTCACGCTGTCAAGCTCGTTATCAGTATATTAAAGTAAGTTTTTAAAGATATTTATATATGTACATTTAAAATTAACAACATAACATATTTCTTAGAATCCATCCGGAGATATTGGCTGATAAGGATTGTGAAATCGTGTATGAGCTGGTCTACTCGTCGCATCGAGGCGTTGCGCAGGCCGCTGCCGAGTTTCTCAATGTGCGATTGTTTCATTTAACCGCTGACATGGACGAAACAAAAACAAAACGGGGCAAATTGCGTCTTCCAAATACGCCGCTAATCAGGGATCTGGTGCAATTCTTTATTGAATCGGAGTTGCACGAGCACGGCGCATATTTGGTGGACTCGTTTATCGATAGCAATGATATGGTGCGCGACTGGGAATGTATGACGGATCTACTGCTGGAGGAGCCCGGCCCCAATGAGGAGCAGCTTGACAACAAGCAGGAATCCACGCTCATCGAAATCATGGTCAGCAGCGTCAAACAATCGGCATCCGGTGAGGTGCCGGTGGGCCGTGCCAGTAATCGCAAGTTCACACTAAGCGCTAAGGAGCTTAAAGCCATACAGGACGAAAAGGTCAAACTAACGGAGCATTTCATTGTATACATTCCCGCCTTGCTGGAAAAATACCAGGCTGATAGCGAGAAATTGGCCAACTTGCTGGCCGTGCCCCAGTACTTTGATCTAAATCTGTATACGACCAACCGTCAGGAGGGGAACCTGCAGGCGCTGCTCGACAAGATCAACCAGGTGATGTGTATGCACACTGGTCGCGATGTGCTTGAGACCTGCGCCAAGACACTGGAATGCCTCTGTGCCGAAGGCAGCGCAACCTACACGCGCTGCAACATTGCTCGTTCCAACATCATCGAGAATGCGGTTAACAAATACAAGGATACCATAGTTGAGTGGCGAAATTTAATTTTGGGTAAGCTAACTGTTTTATATTGTTCAACATCAACATCACTATATGATGCCTTCAAGGAATATAAATTGAAATTCATTTTTCTGCATCGTTCGTTTTTTATTAAGCTTAAAATCTGTTATTTGTTGTCCACCAAATTTATATCTTTTTAATATCTCCTACAATTTCATAGCAGATGCTTGTTGGTCGTATGACATTATTTGAGTCGAATGCCTTAAGTCTATATATAATCTTGTGTAGCCCACTCCAATTTAAACCGCTTACATCCGCGACAGCGTCCAAATTAAACGGCTTGTGAATCATTTTGTTCTGTAGGAAATGGACATATTGACAAAATATTGTAATAAATAAATGTATGTATTTATTTTGAAACCATACCCCAGGATAAACACATTTATCCTTGATTTCATCGATATTAATAATGTGCATTGTCCAGCCTTTGTACCAGAATTGCGACTTATCATACAATGTGATACAGATATCGGGAAACGATATATACACTATTGTTGGTAGCCAGGAACCACGATCAAATCGAAGTAATTGAATATCACACTGAAATTAATTACTTGGATCAATGAAGAAGCATTGAAAATATAATAAGATAAATTACTTGAACGCGATCGCCTGGCTGAATATCCCAGACGTAGGTTAGATTGCCGGAAGCTGCTAGAAATTCCGAATTATACTTAAAGGTCACCTCAGATAAATCGAGAAGACCTTCAATGTTTTTTACGGATCTTGGCTCGTTGGCACAATCGGAGAAGACTCCCTCATTTTCAAAATAGAATCGATATTTAATAGCACTCGATTGATTTAGAAACAAAATCAGAAACACCACAACAAACATGATTTTTTGTTCGAACCACATCTTTCTCACTTTCCACGTATCGTGTTTGGCTTCCTCCTTTGTTGGTTGACGTTTTTATAGAGAAAATTATGATTGAATGACAGCTGTTAATATAAAATAAAAATAAATAATTTAGTCGTTTGTTAGATTGCGCCTATAGTCATGTAATTATGGTAATATAATAATTATAGCCATGTAATATGCGAATCACTGGAATGCTATAATTAATTTGGTAACAGCAAACTTAATGTTCCGCTCAGTATATAATTAATATATATAATTTAATTTTTATTTGTGTTTATATGAAAATCTATACAAAATTAATTCTGATTTGAATTACAGGCGAGGAAACACCAAACGAGGATGATATCTATAACATAACCATAACGCTAAAAGTGTTGTCAATTTTGTATTCGTCGCACAATCTGAACCCGTGGGATCTATTTAAATCTCTGTTCCGTGACGTTGAGGAGGCCCAATGCAAAGATAATGTTGAACGTTGCCTGCCCAATGAGGCGCTAGCCTATTGCATAGAGGCCTGCTACTTCTCGATTAGTTGGGGTCTCTACTATGTCGAGAACGATTGTGAGGCGTTGAATGTGGCTGCAGTTGTTGCCGAACTGCGCAGCTACTTGGACACCTTTATGTCCGCCTGCTTTGAGCTCACACGCGACGGACCCACTGTACAAATTCAAGAAGCTGTACGTATTGTGCATTCTATAACATATTATTATTATTATTAGTAATTTTACAATAAAACGATCTTAAAAAGGCCTACCAGTCCATCTGCGACCTGCTTATCATCTACTCGGATCAATTGGCACGCAGTGAGAGCGAACATATACGCAGCCTGGAATACAAATCGCGAATGGATGAGCATCTTATACTGGACAACTTTGTGCAACATTATGTGTTTTCTCTGAAGCAAGTGGTTGCCCAGGATGAGACACGCATTGAGGAGCTGCATAAAAAGCGCAACTTTCTCGCCTGCTACTGCAAACTAATTGTCTACAACATAATACCAACCATGCGAGCGGCGAGCATATTTAAATACTATGTCAAGGTGCGTTAGTTCAATTTGAGATACAATTTATCCTATAATTATTTTTTTTTTTTTTTGTAGTGCTATAACGAGTACGGGGACATTATCAAGGCAACGTTGGGCAAGGCTCGCGAAATAAACAAAGTCAACTTTGCCATGACGCTACTGTTAGGTCTCATCACCGTATTTAAGAATCTGGTGGAGCAAAGTGACGATGGTGTCGTGTCAAAGAGCTCACAAGAGTTCATCGATCTGAAGGAGTTGGCAAAACGTTTTGCCCTTACATTTGGCTTTGATGCGCTTAAGAATCGAGACTCAGTTGCAGCCATACATCGGGGAGGCATATACTTTGCTGCCAATAAGCAGCCAGACGATCCAGTCCGCGCACCGACACGCCTGCTCTTTCTGGAGGTGCTCAATGAGTTTAATTACAAACTGCTGAAGCAGGATAAGAAGGTTATAATGGCCTTTCTTGACAAAATCATACCACCAGGCATGCCATCGAGCCGTGCCGAGGAGTGGCAGCCGTTGGTCCTCTATCGCAACTCCCTGCTGCACGGCGAAACCGATCAGGCGCCATTGGCAACGCGTCGTGCATATACGCGTAAGCGCATAAATCATGGTAAGCAGTTGGAAAAATATTTTGTACACTTTTACAAAACTTTAACACTCATTGGTTTCTTTTATAGATGAAGATGACGAAGATGAGGAAGATGAGGAAGAACACAATGATCCTGATTATAGAGGCTAAGATCCTCTTTATATATTGTTAATAATTCAATATCTTAGATTCAAGAATTAAGCTTATATATTTTATTTAAGGAAGTAAAAGCATACTGCTTACCATTTAATTTTAAGTTAACTTGCAACAAAATCATTTTCATTGCGAAAACATTTCACACAATATGTCAAAATAAAGTTATGATTTAACAAAATAATAAGAAATTCATAAATCTTGTTTTTAAAATCATCAAATATTTTTTAAACTTTCTATATCCTTGTAGAGCATATATATATATATTCCTGATCAAATGAATACTAGCCGAGTGGAGAGAGAGACGTCTGTATATCTAAAATATTTAGTCTTATAAGTGCAGAACTCCTATAGATTGAAAGTTGAGAAGTAAATAAACTATTGTGGTTAATTGACCTTAATACATATATAATGTTAATGCGTGTAATTACATTTTCATTTGTTTACTGACATAATATCCGACTCCGACTCCGACTCAAATTGTATACGCATCGTTCATGTTTTATTTAGTTTCAAAACTTGTATTTATTGTCTAAAAATTTACATCCGTTCAATTTCTCCTACAATTGCAAAGCAGATGCTTGTTGGTCGTATGACATTCTTTGAGTCAAATGCCTTAAATCTAAATATCATCTTGTGTAGCCCACGCCAAGGTAAGCCGCTTATCTCAATGACAATATCCAGATCAAACGACTTGTGAATCGCTTTGGTCTGTAAGAAATGGACATATTAACAAAACATTGTAATAAATAAATGTATGTATTTATTTTGAAAACATACCCCAGGATAAACACATTTATCCTTGATTTCATCGATATTAATAATGTTCTTTGTCCAGGATTTGTACCAGTATTGCGACTCATCATACAATTTGCTGCACATATCGGCAATAGACAGACTCAGGATTGTTGGTAGCCAGGAACCACGATCAAATCGAAACACTTGAATATCACACTGAAATTAATTACGTGGATCAATGACAAAGCAATTTAAAAGAGATGGAAAATATAATAAGATAAATTACTTGAACGCGATCGCCTGGCTGAATATCCCAGATGTAGGTTATATTGCCGGATAATGCTACAAATTCCATATTATACTTAAAGGTCATCTCAGATAAATCGGCAAGACCTTCCATATTTTTTACGGATCTTGGCTCGTTGGCACAATCGGAGAAGACTCCCTCATTTTCAAAATTAAATCGATATTTAATAGCACTCGATTGATTTAGAAACAAAATCAGCAACACCACTTCAAACACGATTTTTGGTTCGAACCACATCTTTTTTACGTTTGAAATATTCACGTATCGTGTTCTGAATAAGATTTATATTTTGTTGGTTGACGTTTTTATAGACAATAGACAATATTATTAATATAGCCACTGTTAATTAAAAACAAAAATTATTCAGTTGTAGATAGATTGCATCTATTGTCGATAACAAAAAACTGTTGATGCTACGCAATTAATTGTAGCATTCGAATGATTCCTATCAAAGTTTATGTTCAATTCAGTATTTAATTAAAGTTAATTCTGTGTTTGTCGCACAATCTAAACAGATGGGATCGAAATCAATTTTAAATCACTGTTATGTAACATTGAGGAGATCCACGGCATAAAAATTGTTGAACGTGCTTGATAAGGCGATAAACCTTTCCACAATGAACCTGACGATGAAGGCTCAGAATTTATTTGTGTAACCTAAGACTATCTTTTGAGTTTTAAGTTAGCAAATTCATTTCCATTAGGAATACTTTTCAACTGTTATCCTGTTTAAATATTAAAATGAAATTGAATTAACATTACTTAACAAAATATCACATCAATTTATAGAAAATTCACAAATCTAGCTTCTTGCAAATTATTCAACTAATTCAAAATATCAGAAAAATAAAAAAATTAATATATGTTCTTCGCTATAACGTGAATCAGGGTTATGCTTTTTATTTGTCTATTTATTTATGTAAATCATACTAGATTTGATCTTGATGCAGAGCTTCTAGGTTAGCTTTGACAAACAAAATCTTAGATCCATTTGCGGGATACACCTCTAATTTCATATCATTATAGAGCTTTTTAGATGCACTGAACACACGTCCGCTGGCAACACTTGCGGCGGGTATCGATAGATAGCGTCTTACAATTGGAAAAATGTCCCTATATTTAGGATGGCATTTCCACCAACCAATTGGATCGCTTTGGCGCTCAATTTTTGGCTCGGAATTGTACAAATATAGCAAATTTTTCAATTGAGCTTGAGAATTCCACGACGAGGATGCTTCAGTGCAGCTGTTCGATGTAAGCATATTGTCGAGAAATGAATCAATCTTCGATTCGCTTTTTACATTAGAAACCGCTTTCGTCATCAGTTTTGCTGTCTGCCACGGTTGAGGCTGAAGTCCGCATAGTTGAGCCAAGACCTCATCTGTTATCTGCTGCATCTCTTGCTGGGTAAAAAACGCATGCTTATAGCGCGGATCCAAATATGTGGCTATTAGATATTTGATATCTGTGGTTAGTGGGGCACATCTCGATTCCAGTTCTTCAAGCAGCTTTCGGGCAAACGAACAAATGGTCTATAATAAACAGCAGTCATCAGTCGGCAGACTATGTAATTATTATTCATGTACATACCACAGAGGATACAAAGTTGTGCACATCTGTGCGAAGTGAATCGCGTAAGGCGGCAATTAATGGTATTACAGTGGATGCTGTCGATGATGTTTTACACCAGATATTGATAATCTCTTCAATTGGCTGGACGACACGATTACATATCTCAATATCCAGCCACTCATCTGGATAAATGGTCACTAAATTATATTCTTCGGCATAAATTGTGAGAGCGTCTTTCAATTTGAGCAACCGTCGAAATATTGCGATCCAACCAAAGGGACTTTCATCAATTGCCATTAGGGGATTTGAATCGCGATTCAAACGCTTCTTAAGAATGTGCCTTAAGTGATCATATGCCATTTGAGATTCCTCAAAGTGTTTGACAATCTGTTGACATTTTGCATGTAATTGTTTCAAATTGTCATTCGATTCATATGCATATCTCACGCATTCTTTTAACAGATGAACATTGCACTCGACGACAGCACCCGGTGGGCATGTGAACTCGTCCCTGATAACGCAATGGATCTTCTCCTTGGGCAATTGCAGGTCCAGGCTGGCACTCGAAATAATATTACGAATGCGGCAAGCAATATCGTCCGCGTTTCGCTCAAATAAAACATCGCATTTTAAGTAATATTGCTTAAGCTGAAAGTCCGAGGAGATGCCGTGACAAGTTAAGCTGAGCAATCCTTGATCGACCGAATCCCAAGAGATGCTTGTTGCCAGCGTCACCGATTCGAGGATATAAAGTTCTTGCTGCAATTGTGTCTGCATTCGTTGATAGATCTTTGTAGCAATTATATTTTCATAAAAGCTTATCGGCCTAATTGTATATCGCGGCTGCAGCATCTTGATGAAGTTCACGAAACCAGCATCTTCGATCATATAAAAGGAGTAATCATGCCTGGCTATCATTAAAGCCAATTTCTCATCGCTTGCATGCATATCCATCTCACTGTGCCTTTGCATATCATCCAATGGATCTGCATCCTGTCGAAAACCAAAAAAATAAATAAATTTAAATAAAATTAAAATATAATGTTATATTTAAGGATGCTCGTTTACTTGTAAGCTGATTTGGGTGGCTGTGCTTTCATTCATTTCCGTTTTCACTGTGTATTTCATGTCGTTTTCGGAGAGTGTTAGAAATTCAACAGGATGCTTGCTCTTGAGATGATTTCGTAGACAGGTTGTGCCGCGTCCCTTTCGTGAATAGTTGTTGTGACATAGGCAACATATTGCGACCGTATCGCTTTGTTTGTAGAAAAAATTCCAAACTCGACTCTTTTTGCTCATTATTTCATCTGCGGATACTCCGCTTTACATCCGTTCCGTTGCAGCCCTAAATACACTTGTTTCGATAACAATAGAATGTGCGATTGTTTAACTACAGAGTTGCCACCCTCGCCTCACACACATTTCTATCGACTTTTTCCCATCAATTGATTGAGATTTTGGCGCGCACGCGACTCGACCAGTAAATAATAATTTAATTTTTTGTTTATGTGCGCGATGCCTTGCAACATGGATTTGCCCAGCACTCCCGAGGAGCTGGATTTGTTGGATAGTGCCAGCTGGAAAAATGTACTCAATGATGTGACAAAATGGCACTCGATACCTCTGCTAAATCACACGCCTCTGCATCAATTAAAAGATCAGAGCCTGGTGCGTTTTCGCGGCATGGTGCAAGACATGATGGATCCCGAAATCTATTTGGAGCGCTATGAAGTAAAGTCTTCCGATGGTGGCAGACGTCAACAGCCGGGCAAATATCGCGATTGCCTGCGCCTGGGCAAAGATGAGCAGCTTGATTATCAGGCTGAGAGCAATGTGCATGGCGAACGGCGCACATTGTTTGTGGTCTCGGTGCCTGGCCTCAATGGCTGGGCCAAGGAGCACGAAAAGCTATGCAATCCACTCCCAACACATCAAACAGCAACAATAACAATTGGCAATGGCATTAAACGTTCTCTGGACGAACGGGTTGAAATGGAAGTGGATAAAGCAGATGATGAAACCTGCTGCAGCAGTAGCCATTCGGTTAAAAGACACTGCTGCGTGCCTCCCGCTGTAAATAAAGCTGAAGAAAGCAACGCCAGCAGCTGCCCAGCAGTGCTGGGCTCAGATTACCTGCTCAACTCTCCGCTGCCAAGTCGTCCGAGCATGGCTTGCATGGTCAAAGTCTATGAGGATTTCGACAAGTACACCCTAAACTCTCTAATGGATTTTGTTGGTTTTCTGTCTGTGGATCCGGCGCTGGATGCGGCTACTCTGGATGATGATGCCTTGAAAGATGTCGACAGCCTCAGTGAGCTACAGGCTCAGAATCCTTCACCCTTTCTAATACCACGTTTGCATGCCTTTGGTGTCAAGCCGTTGCCCCATGCAAATCCACTGCTTGATCAGAGCTTGAAGCAACCAGCAGAACTGGAGCCAGTAACATCGCAATCTCTGGAGACGGTGCACAAGGATTTGCGCATGTTGCTCAAGCTCTGTTTGTTTGAGGATGATCTGTGTGCGGAGTATCTGCTGTGTCATCTGATCTCCACAGTTTACAGCCGATCGGAGATGCAGAGCATCGGCAAATTCACATTGAACATCTGCAATTTGCCCAAAGATTGCCTGCAGCAGTACACAGTAAAGCTGTACGAGATACTCGAGCTGCTGCTGCCCGCCAGCCACTATTTACCCATGACACTGGACAACATGAATACCGCCTGCTTTGCGCCAAAGTAAGTGAAATTAAACAGGAAGGAGCAAACCTTCTACTGATCCATTTGAATTGAATATTATTGTTGAAAACAGAAAGGATTACGAGACAAATAAGCTGGTGTCTGGAATGCTGCAGTTGGCGCCGCACACACACTTGCTGTTGGACGAGACGCGCATGCAGCAGGGCAAACTGGAGGCGAATGGTGTGCATGCCATACAGCATCTGGCCAATGTGATCAACAATCAACAGCTAAAGTGCGACTTTCAGTATTATCACATTGATTATAATGTTGATATACCTATGTTGGTGGTCAGCGAGGGTCGCAGCATGCTGCCGGTGAGTAGTAACCAGACGTCTCCATGATGATAAACCACTCGCTGTATTCCTATTATTTCAGAGCGACTTTGTGCTGCCGATCAGGGCCGATGTCAAAGCTGTTGAACTCTATGAGGAATCGCTGAAAGCCGCCCTTCACTATTTGCAGCCGGCGCGATTGCAGCAATTCCGCAGCTATTTGACCCTGGCGCGATCCAGTCAGTTTAGTGTTAGTGAGGATCTCACCGAAATGATACAGCTGGACTTTGTAGATATGCGTAAGGCGAATGTGAAGAGTTCTGCCGATGATTTGCACGGTCTTTTGGTCCTATCGCGTCTGCTGGGAATTGCGCGCGGAAAATTGGCGCTGGATAAGGAAACGTGGCATTTGGCCACCGAATTTGAATCGACACGTCGCCAGCGTCTCCAAGCTTTGCCCAAGTCAAGCGTTCCAATGCGCAATTAGCTAATAGATACAAATATACATATATATAAATATTATTTTATCCAAGTTCCAAGTACAAGTTTTGTGTATTATTTGCTTATTGGTACAATATTTATTTTTGCTTTTCTTTATCTAAACGTCGTAAGATTTGTTGAGTTCATTGATGAACCACATAGGTTGATGGTGGCTCCACTCTAATGTGGACCATTTAGTTTTAGACAATGGACTTCTAAGCGTTAGGCATGTTTCTAAGATGGTTCCATTCCAGACTTGAACAATTGTCCACATTTTTGAATGTGCTCTGGAAATCTTAACCTTTGACAACAGCATATAGAAACGGATGGAACAATTAATTGAGGCGGACATGGACATGTTTAGGATGATTTCGCTGGACAAATAAATATAAAAAAAACTGTAAGAGTTTTTGGCAAACAATAGTTTAAAATTTAGTGCAAGTGCAAGTAAAATAAAAAAATACAAAACTCAGCATTTTTGTGAAAAAGATTTTATGAATATTTTATTTATGTTTGTCAATAAGCAAGTTCATTAAGAAATGCAGCAGATTTGACCGTTTGCAACAGTCTATAATATATCGGGTTGTGGTATGAATAATCATTTGAGTAGAAAAATTCAGTTAATATTTAATTCAATTTTGCCTGGGCAAATTGATTGGCCAACTGGACAATCTCGTCGACGCGCTCAAAATTGCTGCCCGAGGCCTGAGCCGACTCGGCTTTGCCGCCACCCTTGCCGCCGAGGATAGAGGAGACATGCTGCACCCATTCGTTGGCCTTCAGACCCTTCTCCACGGCAGCCTTGGGCACCGAGCACAGGCAGAAGATCTTCTTGCTGTCGGCATCAACTGAAACGAACATGGCTGCAGCCTCGGGTAACTGCAGACGCACCTGTTTCAGGGCAGCATCCAGCGCCTTTGTATTGTTGTAGGCCTCCAGTTGGTGGACCAACACCTTGGCCTGTGGCTCGGCCTCGCAGAGTGCCTTGGTGCGCTCCACAACGGTCACCGAGACGGCGGCACGAAGCGCACGCTCCTTGTCATCCAGACTCTTCTTGAGCAGCTTGAGCAGATTGCGCATCTCATCCTTCTTGACATGCGGAATGGTTGCATGCGAGATTTGTTCGGTCAGTTCGACAATTAGCTTCACATACATCTTCGATTCTTTGCCGGATTGATCAGCCTCAATTGTCGCTTGGAGTTGGCTGATCTCCTGCTCAAATGCCTCCGATTTTTTGATAGCTTTCAATGCCTCGGGGCCAGTTAGGGCGACAATGCGACGTATACCCTTGGCAATGGCTTCCTCGCTGCTGATGACAAAGTCCATGATGTGTCCCGAGTTGCGCAGATGGGTGCCGCCACAGAATTCCACAGAGGTTTGCTCGCCAGTCTCAGCGTCGGGCTGCGATTCCAGTCGATCCACTGGCACGCCAAAGGAGATGACACGCACCGGATCCGGATACACCTCATCAAAGACGGAGCGCAAGCCGCGTATGCGCTTGGCCAAAGCCAACTGCGACTCCTTGGCATAGATGGGCATATTTTGATAGACCATGTCGCGTGTAAGTTTCTCAGTTCTGGCCACCTGATCGATGGTCATGGCTGCCTTGCAATTGAAGTCAAAGCGCAGCTTCTCTGGCACCACCAGCGAACCCTTCTGCTCCGTATCCTTGCCCAGCACCTGCAGCAGACAATGATTGAGCGCATGTGTGGCCGAATGATTCTTCATGGTTAGCCAACGACGCTCCACATCGATATGCAGCTGTAACTCATCGCCCACAGCCAAGTTGCCCTCAACGACGCCAATGTGAAGGATGTAACCGCCACGATTGTAAACACGATCCACCAGAAATTCATTTGCCTCATCATTGAGTTTGACGAGCACACCCTGATCGTAGATCTGGCCACCGCTTTCCGCATAGAAGTTCGTCTTATCGAGCACAATGCCCGCCTTCTGCCCGCTGCTAATCTCCTGAACAAACTTATTCTCAAAGCGCAGAGCGACAATTTTACTGGTGCATTCACTGAAATTGTAGGCCGCATCCCGCTCAACGGAAACAGCCTCGTAATTGTATTTAAATGAGTCATCTGTGGAAGGTAAACCCTTCTCCTGCAACTCGGAGATCGCATGCACATCCAGAGTGATCTCATCGATTTTGCTGGCGCCCTTGCCCTGCGAGAGTATATAGGAATTCTGTTTGGCTGCCTCATAGCCAGCCATATCAATTTGCAGCGACTTCTCCTCAGCCATTAGCTGGGTGAGATCAACCGGAAAACCGTATGTATCATAGAGACGCCAGGCCACGTCGCCGGGTATGGTTGTCTGGCTGGTGCCCAGTTTCTCAATAGTGCGATTGAGTAAATTGCGGCCACGTGTTAGTGTCTTCAGGAACTGCAGCTCCTCCTCATTAATAATGTCCATTATGTGCTGCGGATCCTTCTTGACCTCAGGAAAGGCATCGCCCAGCAAATCGACAACGGTGCTCACCAGCGAGGCAAAGAAACCGGGCTTGGCATTCAGCTTTTCCGTTGCGTAGCTGTGCGAAAATATAAATATTAATATGTTAGCTTCGAGATTACCGCTTACTGCTTACCGCACTGCACGTCGCAGGATGCGACGAAGCACGTAGCCGCGGCCCGTGTTATCGGGATTGCCGCCGTCGGCCAAGGCAATGGTTATGGTGCGGGCATGATCGGCGAGAACGCGATAGGCCATATCGATGCCGTCCACATCATCGGCGCCGACACGTCCCTGATAGGCGGGAGCACCAGTGCCCGCCTGGATGGCATCGAAGAGCGGCACAAACAAGTCCGTATCGTAGTTGGAGCGTTTGTTTTGAATGACGGAAACGAGTCGCTCGAAGCCCATGCCGCAATCGATGTGCTTCTTGGGCAGCGGCTTTAAGCTGCCGTCGGATTCGCGATTGAACTGAATGAACACCAAATTCCAAATCTCCAAAACATCGGGATCATCCTGATTCACTAACTCCGGCACGCTCCGTCCACCAATGCGATCAAAGTGCAATTCAGAGCAGGGGCCACACGGCCCCGTTTCGCCCATCTCCCAGAAGTTGTCCTTCATGCTACCGGGCAGAATGTGTTCCGGCTTCAAGCCCAAGTCCATCCAGAATTGTTTGCACTCCAAATCCGGTTGCAAACCACTGGCTGCATCTCCACCAAAATAGGTCACATACAGTCGATCCTTGGGCAGCCGCAGGCGCTCGGTGAGGAATTCCCAGGCCCACGAGCAGATCTCCTTCTTGAAGTAATCGCCAAACGACCAATTGCCCAGCATCTCAAAGAACGTGTGATGATACACATCCTTGCCCACATCATCCAAGTCGTTGTGCTTGCCGCCAGCTCGGATGCATTTCTGCGTGTTAACCGTACGCACCCATTTCGACATTTCGCTGTTCGGATCCGCTGTGCCCAAAAAAATGGGCTTAAACTGATTCATGCCGGCGTTGGTGAAGAGTAGCGTTGGATCATCCAGCGGAATCGTGCTGGAGGAGTGTACATAGATGTGCTTCTGCTCCTTGAAGAAGTCCAGGTAGGCATTGCGCACCTCCTTGGCGGTCATTAGCTTCATTTTGCTGCTTTAATTTGTTAACTGAACAAGAGAAAGGGTTAGTTGTTGTCAGTTGCCACGCAACTTATTTTAGATATATTTATTGTCAATTGTCGATTTGCATGCAATGTGAAAGTGCAAGAAAATTCGATTGAACGTGACATAATTTCACAAACTTAAACATTGTACAATTGCTGTTTTAGTTGACACTTTGTAAACAGTTAATGTTGTATTTGTATTAGTTAAAGTATTACTCACGTTTTCGAGAATTAAATGCGAATGCAGAACAATTTCGTCAACCGACTGCAGCAACGTGTAACGTGAACCGATTTCAATGCTGCAAGTTCCGCTATGAATCAGAATTAGATTGAAAGGGTATGGGTGACTAACTCAAATTATCAAACGCAAGCGTCATCGTCTATCGAGTATAAGTGACATCGATAACTTATCACTTTGGCGCCAATAGCTTCTTTTAAACATACATTTTTGTTTATATATATTTACGCAGATAACAACCCATATACATTTATTGCTTTTATACATGTTTTGTCTTAAAAATCGATTCGTTGTGGTATATCTTGCTGTTCGAGTCTGTGCTCGATTTCCTTCATGCGAAGCATCAAATTAAAGTTCTGCTTTTCCTCCTGACCCGTCAAATACATCGTCACAAACGCCTGTATGGCAATTATGGTGCTCAGAGCGGGAATAATGGGACGCGTGAGCTTCCGATATAGCATAAAAACATCCCGAGGATTCTCCGTTATTGATGGCAGCCGGTAAGTGTAGCATCTGGTGGCAAACATAAATGCAGCAAATGGTGCCAAAATAGTGGGATAAACCACTCCCAAAGCCGATTGGAAGGCGGCGCTGCGCACCTGCTTGCAAACAGGACACTCGCCCAGGGGATCCAGAAGTATTGGTCGCTGTATGAAGAACTTGTGACTCAACATAGTAAATATCGCAGGCACAGCAACAATTGGCAAATAACTTGACAAACGTCCATTTGCCCCAAGCCGTAAGCAAGTGCGATAATGGTTATTGATGTAGGCACCCGTGGCAGCCGCCATGACGCTGAGTATGCCGGGCGCATAGCGCAGCGACCAACTAACAATGAGCACAGAAGACAGAAAAAATTAACGGTTAGATAAGCAGCGGGAAATATATAAAACATACACGTCTCCAATCTTGTCCCAGGACGTAATTATCTTCCACTGGTAACGCAGCGCCTGATCCTCTGTTATGATGACTGCATCCTTTGGCAGTTGCTCCGGCTTGGCGCGCGATAATGCCATATTTTCATTAATAATAAATAAATTAGAAATCCTCAGCAACTGCAAGAATCACAAATCAGCTGTTAACAAATGCCGACACAGTGCTGTAAAGAGTGCTGAACATCGATAATTTCACATTTATACCAAATATCGCTGGTTGATATTTTCTATGTGTCTGCTCAATGGTTAGTGCCCTTGTCGATACATCGATATTTTCACATTAAACAATAATGATGTTGTCCAGCACTATTTGTAAATTGTCAAAAGTGCCATCCATTTTGAAAATAGAGTAAAATTTTAAAATGCCGATGAAACGCAAAGAGCTTTCAAAACATGCCAAAATCGATATACCCAGACAAGTAATACGCAGAAATACAGGAAATGCACCACCAAATGTTTGCGTCAAAGCGAACAATGGCTCGCAAATGGAGGATACGATGCAGGAACAACTGCATCCTATTCAAAGGAAGACCCCGCAGCAGGCAGCTGGCAATAAACTTGCCATTCCTCAATTTAATACGATGATTGGCCGAAAACATGAGATCATATCAATGCCGCAAATGACCATACAAGTTAATCCAAACCTTACGCCTCGCACCATGGCATCGATAGCGCCGAAGGTAAGCAAAAAACTGTGTATATATATATATATATATACAAGTCAAAGCGTAAACTAAAATCAACATTTCATATTAGATTACTCAGAAGATGAACTTTCCACCAAATACGACAGTATTCAAGGATTTGGCATCATTAAATGTAAATGACACTTTGCGCGAATTGGCGCGTCCAAAAGCAGTTCGCAAAAAAACGACCAAGGAGGCCACCAAACCAAATATCATGGAACCCCAATTGTCTGATTATCTGGAGGAAGTCCATCAATTGTTTCTTGTGTTGCCGGAACCAAGTCTCGTCATGTCGTTTCCAATGGAAGATTTCGATTTCCTGGGCGCCATTAAGCGACACGATATGCTTTGAAATAGACTCCAATGTTTTTCTTTTTTGAGTTTTGTGTTATTTTAATTATATCAAATTAAATCAATATGCTATGTAGCAGCTAGTACAAGTATAAGGTTAGCCTATAAAGTTCATGACAACCAAAAAGAGAATAATGTGTGCAAATATGAAATCGGCAAAACCACGTTCCGGTGAGATGCCCGCAAATACGGCCTTATTCTGTGGATTGGCCTGCAGACGGAGACAAACGGCCAAAACGAAGCAGCTAACAGTGCTGATAAAGCCCGACAGAAAGGAGTTAAAGGGAAATGAGCCCACCATGCAGCAGTAAACAAATTGTATGATGCCGGTCAGTAGGATGTAGCCCAAGTAGATGTCAACCAGTTTCAGCTTCTTCGGTGTGTTCTGCACGTAGTCGCTGTAGAACTTGGAGATGACGCTGCTTATCTCAACCATTTTCGTTTTTTTCTGTTTTTTACTTGGATATTTTTTATTTAATTTATATTTTGTTATTAATTTGCAGCGCAGACACGTCACGCAATTCGGCCGGGAAATAGTGTTGTAAGTGGCCCTTTTGTGTCAGTCGCAATGCAACACTGTGAATTGGCAGGGAATGGCTAGACGAGAAGAAGAAGACCAATGATTTGGTTTTGTTTTGATTGTGGTCTCGTCATCATTGCCAAATATTAAAGGTATTAGTTAAAAATAATCTTTTCACATTTACAGATTAAATTTAACTGAAATATAATTGTGCAAGGCCTCAAATATCAACAATTCAAATATGTCTGCTAGAGGCGAGTGCGGTTACTGTCTGTGTATTGTGCAATATACATCTATATAAAACAGTTGCAGTCTGTATCTAATACAGATACAAAAATGCAAACATATGTTAAGCGATAAGTGCATATATAATAAGTAATAGCAGTTAATCTTTATGCCATACAACTTATCTTGCTGTTCAACAGGAATATATATAGTAAAAATCGTTCGTTTGCGTCTGAAGACCGTGACCTTCGCTGGGCTTTGTGGGCCGCTTTCATTGCCATTGCCAGTGTCACGAAGCGAGTGAAAAAAATCAATGGAAGACTTGACGCCGTTAACCAACCTTCAACAGGTATGCACAAAATGGCATTTGGCATAGTTTGATTTGTTTTAATTTTCATTGTTGGTTTTCTTACAGTTTTAGTTCCAAGTTTTATGTTTTCTTAACTGCCAACTGCATTCAACGCCCCATAACTGCCCGCATATTCAATTACAGTAATTTACCAAACACAATTCTTTTGTTTGTAAGTGTTTATTTTTATATATAAAATAATTCTATATAAATCGTATATGCGAGTGTGTGGTTTAGATTGTTAGGGGTTCAATGATTTGATTTTTCACATGAATTTAAAAATGTTTAATTGTGTTTGCCTCTTAATTTTATACATCTATGTAAGGGGACTGTGGCTTATTCACAGTTCAAAAATCATTTGTCACTGTGAATATTGAAATTAAAGTTGATATAGTACGACAAATTTCTGTGAGTGAAGTGCCATGCTCATATGGACATAAGATAATAAATATACAAATTATTTGTAGTCATATAAAACAGAAAATATATAAAATAGTTCATTAAATTCGAAAAATATCTTGTAGGTTATAAACTATACATCTTATAGAAATCGTGAATTTGTGGGCGTATTTCGTTTGTGATAAATGTGTGTGAATATGTAGAATATATTTGTACTGATTTGGCTGCCCCTTTTTAACAGACTATTCATAATTCTTATCGGTTCTGCGAAACTCTGGTTGGGCCTACATACATTAATTAAATTAAATGAGTCATTCTTCGATTTGATATCGTTTCTAACGAGTAGCTCGTTGCTACTTTCCAGACAGCCTGCATATCAGGCCAGGGCCAAGGCTTCGGCATTTATCACCGAGCCGAATGCGAAAATTTTCCACTACTGTGCTTATTATCGCACTATCCGAATCCATTGTTCGTCTCAAGACTCGCTCAAAGAAAACTGAGGCAGCGGAAAATTTACCAAACTTAAAAGAGGCTTTGCATCGTTTATAATTCCAGTGTGACTTCAGCTGGCGAAGTGAATAGGTCGTTAAAGAACACTCTCGCACACTCATATTCACACAAATATTAACACATTGCCTTTTTTCTTCTATTTGGCTCGCTCTCTTTACTCAACTCATAGATCGGAGAGAGCGCGAAACGCAAGCCGAAGATGACAGAACGACAACCGTTGCTGCTGCAAAGCGATAACTCGGATTACGAGGGCAATCGAAGCGGAAACGGCTTAATAAGGCCGCCGGTACGCAACTCACCGCCGGACAGTACGCTGGTCAATGTGCACAGCGAGGATAGCATCGCAGGTAAGTGATATAAAATGTCATCTTTCATATATTCAATGTAGTTTTATAAGCAAGTTCGCTTTTATGCATCAGCTACTTCATTTCGACATGACAATTTTATATGTATATTAATTTGAATTAGGTCAAGATCACACTATTCAATAAATATTTAGTAGTATTTATTTTGAAATGAAGCAAATTTGTTTTTCTTTTTTTTTTTGCATAAGTTTGTAACTAGCAATTACAGTCAATTATGTCATAATTTCTGTGAGAACAACTTTTTGCAAAAGATTTCCTTTAAGTAGCTAATTATTTGATCAAATATTAATGTCGCAGAAGCCAAATAGAATGTTTATGATATTAATTGCGGAGCTTTGCCAACGTTTAAATTTAATACAAGGAAATCTTTCATCTTAATTGTCTATTTTTTCTTTAAAATACTTATTGCAGAACAGAGTATTCCGTAAGATAAGCCATATATTTAAGTGTTACTTCAAGCAATTATCAATTAATTCCCACTTAATTTTCACACAAACACAGTGCACGCCGCAGCCGCTGATGGTGGTGACGATGACCAGAGCAGTCAGATAGGCGATGAAAATGCCAAATCAATGTACAATCCCACACAACATCGTACACTGGAGTATCCCACATCAAACTTTGACACGTTGGTGCATCTACTGAAGGGAAATATTGGCACTGGAATTTTGGCCATGCCGGAGGCGTTCAAGAATGCTGGCCTCTATGTTGGCCTCTTTGGCACGCTGATTATGGGCGCCATATGTACGCACTGCATGCACATGCTGGTCAACAGTTCGCATGAGTTGTGCCGGCGACTGCAGCAGCCAGCATTGGACTTCTCGGAGGTGGCCTTCTGCAGTGTAGAGACGGGACCGTTGGGCCTGAGACGCTATTCGCATTTGGCCAGGCGTATTGTTACTACATTCCTGTTTATTACACAGATTGGCTTCTGCTGCGTCTACTTTTTGTTTGTGGCTCTCAATATTAAAAATGTAGTGGATCAGTATTTCAAGATGGATGTGCGCATATATTTGCTGCTGTTACTGCTGCCCATGTGCTGCTGAATCTGGTGCGCAACTTAAAGTACCTGACGCCTGTCTCTCTATTTGCTGCTGTGCTCACCGCCGCAGGTTTGGCCATTAGCTTCTCCTATATGCTGCACGATTTGCCCGACACTCACACGGTTAAGCCCGTTGCCACCTGGGCCACATTGCCCCTGTATTTTGGCACCGCCATCTATGCATTTGAGGGCATTGGCGTTGTGCTGCCATTGGAGAACAATATGCGGACACCTGAGGATTTTGGCGGAAAAACGGGAGTGCTCAATACGGGCATGGTAATCGTGGCCTGCCTGTACACCGCTGTTGGTTTCTTCGGGTATCTCAAATATGGCGAGGGTGTTCAAGCGAGCATTACGCTAAATCTCCCCCACGACGATGTGTGAGTATTATATTTTATACTAATGAAATCGTTTTAAAACTAGAAGTTCCACAAATTTGTATTTTGTAAATATAAATTAATTGGATGTAGAATTACTTATTAATTGTTTATAGAAAACATATTGCAAGCCATTTATTACAACTGAATATCTTTTCACAGTCTATCGCAGATAGTCCGAATTTCCATGGCCGTGGCCATATTTCTGTCGTACACACTGCAGTTTTATGTGCCCATCAACATGGTGGAGCCTTTTGTGCGCAGCCACTTTCAAACCACAAGTGCCAAGGATGTGGCTGCCACTGTTTTGCGCACAGCTATGGTCACATTTACCTGTAAGCTTGCAAATCAATTTCAGCTTAATTTTTATAATAATTAAATATAATTGATTTCTATTTTCAGTTTTATTGGCTGCCGTCATACCCAACCTGGGCATCATTATCTCCCTTGTGGGTGCTGTCAGCAGTTCTGCTTTGGCGCTAATTGCGCCGCCTATTATTGAGATGATAACATTCTATAATATGGGCTATGGTCGCTATAATTGGATGCTATGGAAAGATTTCCTTATAATGATCTTTGGTCTGTGCGGTTTCATTTTTGGAACGTGGGCGAGCTTGGCACAGATCGTAAAGTAGACAAAATTGCCCCAACACTTACTCCAATACTTGAAGATCGTGTCGAATTTACGACGAAGGCTTTACTGTAGATTTTACTACAACTCTATAATAAGTTATAAATAGTACATTTAGTTTTTTGCTTTTGTTAATGTACCCAAAGACGTTGACGTTTACAGGTGCTTATCGGTCCAGCAGTGCTTCGATTTTATTTGATTGTAGAATTTTTGTGTATTTTGATTTAATTTATTTGAACTTAGCGCAATTACTCAATTCAATACCAGACAATAATTAGACTAAATGGTTTCTTTTTTTAATGTGTTTTTTTTTTTTAATAATTTGTTTCCATATGTTATTTACAATGTTGTGTTTATACTTTTGTGCTAAGTCATGAATCGCAAAATGCCAAAAAGTGATTTCGTATAGTATTCCTAAACAACTAATGCTTAGATTTAAATGTTTAGGGTTTTAGTTTAAGGTCAGCGCAATTCTTTCCAATGCCAGTGGCCATTTTGTTCTCACAAAAAAAAAAACAAAACAAATGATGTTTAAGCAAATTATAAAATATGTTTAGCTAGTTTTTTGTGTGTGCTTCAGACAACATTATACTCTATACTATTATATATATATATATATTATATTATATATACTATGTAGCGAATATATTATACAAAAATAATTATATATACACGCACACACACATACACCTACATATACTGTGAATACTGTGAATTTGACTTTATATTGAAATAATTTCAATATAATAGTTCTGGCTATTATGTCATAACGCACATTTCACAACAAATAAGTACATATGCCAGAGACTTGCTTTTTCTATCTCTGTTAACAAGAAAACATACGTGTAATTTCATTACAAATTTGAAACAACTAAAGACAATAAATATTTGCGTTTAATGTTTGTAAAATCCATAAAAATGTTCTCTGATCCCAATAAGTACATCAACTATAACATTTCCACTGGACTATGACCAAAAGTTGATAGTAAGGCCGAGTATCTATATTTTGGACGATTAACTGACTAACTCCGTTAGTCTAAAATGTCTAAAAATGTCGAAAATTTAATTTATCAAAACATACAGCATTGATAGCATTATCAGTAATCGGATATGGAATCTACTGCATAAGTATATTTAATCGTAGCAGACATGCGTTCTATGTCTCTCTTAAAACTAATAATTTTTTTTCTTTACATATACAAATGCCAGCAGTTTATGGTCGATGGAGTAAACAAGGCTGAAACATATGAAGGTAAACCCGCTAACTATTGCGAGCGGTGCTATTTTGTTTGGCTTCGATAAACAAATAACAATATAACAAACTGTACAATCTGTAGTACTCTGATACAGATTAAGGTAAGTTGTTTCGCTTTACCACTAACATTACCTTAAATATTTTTCCCATTTTGTTTATCTATCATTATTTGAACTTTTTCCATGAAAGTGAAAGAGTGAAAAATGTAAAATGAATATATGAAAATAATAATAAAATATTTAAGTAATATATATAATTAATATATATAATTAATATATATAATTCATATATATAATTCATATATATAATTAATACATATAATTAATATATATAATTAATATGTTTAAATAATATATATATTTAAAAAAAAAGTAAGAAAATATCAGAAAACCATTGGGCTTTGTACTTTACTACTTTACTCTTATAATTCCCAAGTTCTTTTTCCCTGAGGTTTACGTATATAATGATGACTGGCCACATACCTTCTGTGTTGTTTGGAAGGAGAAGCAAGTTAGCACTCCCCTAGACAAGGATGGAACACACAAACGAGCGGCTTGGCACAAGACAAGGTCGTTCACAAGTTTTTTTTCTTCCTTTTTCCCCCTTTCGGTTTTTCTATTTGATGTACTTTATTGTTGTACGTTCATTCCTTGAACTTTATTCAGAAAACAGCCGTTATACATATGTCGTTGTCAAACATTTTAATACAATGCAGGAAGCATTTTAGGTAGCAGGGCATGGAGGAACCCAAGTCCATTTATCCCATGTTATACACTGAGATGTAGCCTGATCAAATCCACCAATAATTTCACATGCCACGGAAACGGCGCTTCCACCCTGGCAGACCCAGTAGTGAGTGGGATCCCAGAAGTTGCGATATTTTGAGTTGTCAGAGCCACTGCAACTGGGCATTCCATTACCATCGGGGTCGCAGTCAGCGAAGACGGCAGCCACGTACAGCGCCAGGCAGAGAAGGATGAATGCTATGGTCAGGAGAGTTTGAATTGTTAATGATTATAGTTACACTTGTCGTATTCTATACTCACAGGTTTTCATATTGGTTGGATAGTCAGTCGACAGAATGCTACTGAATGTGCCTAACCAGACCGATTGCTGAACCTTATATACACCAACCATGTCGACTTTCCTGTTCTGTTATCTGGCCTGGCCGAAATTAGACAGTTCTTTATTAATACAACTTATCTAAACGGTGTTGTGTTCTATATTGTTCTATATGAATGGTTGTGCTCGTGCATTGATAATTTCTATTTTAGACGAAACATGAACAGCGTTTCAATTAATCTAGCTATGGACTTAAAATCAATTGGACAATCTTAACATAAGTTTTGGTAACAACCCCTTGAATGATTGATTAGTAAATCCGTATTTCATTGATTTCAATTCATAATTTGCTGATGAGAGCTAGTGGCGATTTAAAAGAAAGAAAGATTACGTTTTCAAATAAAAAAAAACCTAAGAAACAATAAAGAAAGTCTCAGTCGGGCGAAACCAAATGCGAAATATTCTGATACCATAAGTAATACCATATTTATCGACTGCAAGGCTTATAGGCAAAATAAACTAACATTGGTTTAAATCAAAGTAGGTCCAAAAATTCACCGTAAACAAATCAAAATAATAAAAAAAAATTATTTGAAAATATTAAGATAAAGCGAGATAAATGAAAATGATCGAAGCCGAAATGAGTCAATTTCGAGAGCTGGAAAAATCCGTGCGCTGGTACCGTGGCATGTCCGCCCAACAGATACGAGCGTGCAACAAATTGTTGCACGCGTTGCGCGACGACATCGAACAGGAATCGACGTACAGAGTGCGTGAATGTCTCTCGTTGTTGGGATTGCAACCAATAGCTAATGCCAAGCAGATAAAGACTATAATTGATATTAGTTACATCAACGATTTGGCCTTCCTTTGGTTCCTGTGGGAGGCCTACTACAAGAAGCCGCACAGCTGTTTGGGCGAGTACAATGATTTCACGATCAATGAGCAGTTGATATTGTCAGCTATTGCTCATCTGGATATGACGTCGACTATGCGGGGACTGGATAAAATATTGCCAATTTCAGATCACTCCAAGAAGTATCAGGAATTGCGCCGTGCCAGGGTGCAAAAGCTAACCGAACAGAGGCAACCAAAGTTGAAAACCCGCACGAAAGAAAATGTAAATAGTTCACCATATTCAGTTAGACAAGTGCGACCCAAGTACTTTGCACCCATTTCGTCCCTTTCTAAGCCCAGGGATCGCAAGGTTGTATTTCCCCATTACGACAGATACAAGGATCCAATGTATATTATACCCAATGAGAGTTCCCGTTGGTTTGCCAGATATGAAATGTCACCAGCGAAGCGGGAGGTCAAAAAATGTATATCCGATGCACTTGCTCAGCTCTTTGCGGATGACAGTGTGCAATTTCCTAATCCCCTCTGCACTATGCATCGCCATGTGAAGTATTCGACGACTAGGAAGCAGCAACAGCTCAAGTTAGAGACGATTCAGCGTTGCATGCAAATGCTGGATGTGAAGGCATCTCAGAGGAAGCAGCGCAGCGAACGCATTGTCCAGCAACTGCAGCGAGAGGTGGAATCCGCTGCACGTAAATTGGAACTGTATAAGCGACGCCAGCTAACGGCGTTGCGGAAGATTACTGGAAGGGAAAGCCATTGCCAGAGTTGTCAGATGTGTACACAGCTGGTTGCAACGCCAGGTGTTGAACCAAGGTCAAAAGGTAATTTCACCTTTCTGATCTCATCGGATTTTGAAATGCCTGGTGATCCCGTAAGCAACCAAGCGGGCAAGTTGGATGACGAGCAGGATATCCATGTGCTGCAATGGGGTAGAGAGAAACATTATAAAAAAATACATCTAGAGGCCAATAAAGAGGATTCACTCCATCCACAAATCAATTTCACTGGCAGCAAAGCCCACTGTCCCAGTAATGCCAAAATGCCAAGATTCTGTAAGTCGCAGTGTAAAGACGAAGACGCCAGAATTCTGATACTCAATGACGATGGTAAAAATGTGCGCAAATTGAAACCAACAGAAGTCTGCAAGTCTCCCAAAGAAAACAGCTCATCCGAAACTGAGGAGTTCAAATATTGTTCTAGGAGAACCATGAAGAATGGTTTGTTGCAGTGGGACTTTTTCAAGATATTTGACGCATATTTACATAAGAGAAGCACCGATGCAGAGCCATTGATCAGAAGCTATTGCATACAAGCACTGAATAAGGCTATGGAAGGTCATCAAGCATTGCACAAATATCTTCATTCTCCACAAACCTCTTCCGTTGCAGCGGACAAATGTGCAAAGCAAATATTTCGAGAATCTTACGGAATCTTGGAGGAGTGTCTGAAGCAGCGAGAAGTTGCACAAACTGATAGACTTCAAATCACAAATATAGATCCAGAAGATAAGCCAAGGTTGATGGACCTGTTGAAAATAGCAATGAATAAGCTAAAAGATAATCCACATTATGTTTTAGTCACTCTACCGAATGCACACAAATTGCCGATTTTACTTGATTGGATAGCCGATAGATATGGGAAGACCTACAGCTATCTGCAAATGAATAAGTTGGTCAACTCCAGTCGCATTGTCTACGAGCAGCTGATGAAACAAGCTGCCCAAAAGGCATTACCATTGCCCGAACCTGTTGGTTCTCACAAGAATTTGTCGTGTCGTCTTAAGGAAATCAATGCGGAATATCATGGGAGACTCAATAAAATAGCGCTGGAGAACTCGCGTCTTATCTGGCTGGCATTGCGTGGCTACTCCCATCTGACCGACTCCAAACAGGAGACCTTCTTTGCGTATATGCCCACCAAGGAGCAGGATTTTTTGCGCCATAATCTCTGGAAATCGAGCGACTATCGCAAAATCGATAGCATGCGCAAAGTCTTGAAGAAAAGTTTAAATTGAGCTGAAGTTGCCGTATCGGATAAATTGATTTTGAAATGTTCATTCAATGTATTCGATACTGCATCAGCAGATCACTTAAAGTATTTGGAGCATTGTTTATTTTTCAAACCAAAAAAAAAGTCTTTTTAATATTATTTTTATTTGCTTTACTAGCAGATTTGCTTTTCAAATTCTAGGCAGCATTTTGGGATTAATACTTAATTGGATTTTAAAATAGATACATTTGAGTACACAGCACGAACAGTTTGTTTATATAGCTTTTATTAAATTTGCATCGTGTTATAAAATATAAATGATATTTTACTAAATATTTTGTGGTTGGTTGCATATCTTAAGCCCTGTCTGAAGATTCGTTTAAAATAGTGGTTTGATTTTTAGCTTTACCATCTATTATTTATTTATTTTTATCAAATTTAATTTTCCTTCTAAAGCCTTTGAATCTATTAAGCTTATTATTTGTTAATAAGACATTAAATTTAGTACTTATTGTTAATTAAACGTATACATATTTATTTTTATTTATTTATTTGTATGTTGGAGAGTTTTTATTCTTGGAAACAATATTGCAAATAAATTATTGCCTTATCTTTATCTTTGATCAAATTTGTGTGTGCTTATGATATACATCTGAATACTATGGCGTAATTACGAGTTATTTTTTATTTATTTGTAAGCAAAGAAATCATTTATATATGTTGTTGCGTAGATAATGTTTTAATTCAATGCGCACGCGTTGCGCGTCAGCCTTGAAAAGAGTCAAACGATATTTATGATAAGAGCTACCGAAACTTGTTTAATTTCCACGAAACTCTCACCATGTTTCGCACTCAGATAGCGTTCAATGAAATTCTATCACAATTCCTAATAATGCACAGCGTTTTTGTGATAAGAAAACTTTCAACCCGAAGCATTGTCGACAGTCAAGTACAAGATTTCGAAGGTGTCTGTGCGAAAAAGAAGTGACGCTTCTACAAAATTGACAAGGCTAATCGAAATTTTGCATTCGCACTTTTTGCAGTTATCAATTTAAATCGACAAGAATTTTTCCCAATGTCGTCAAACTTGTGCAAGAACTTTAACAAATTGGGCACGCCCCTCAAAGCCGCCCACTCGAATTCAGCGAAGATGAACGGCGTTAATTTCCCAACAGTCTACCAAAGAATAACATTGCAAGAGTAATTTCAGAAGCAAAATCCATTGTCAAAATGGTAAGCTATGGTGTACAATGTTCGCTCGCTAAATACAACTTTTACACTTTTCAACTCTATTGAAAGCTCAAGATTTAAGAAACATTTCGAAGCCTTTTTGAAAACTCTTTTTGAAGTTTTAATCTTTAACTACTTTTAAATTTGTAATTTCCGTAACAAATAGAAAGTTGTCTATATGAATCATTTAATTAAAAAATGATTGTTTAAACTACAGAATAATACAATTAAATTACAATCTATAATAATTATTCCTATTGGACCCACTATCTACTAAAGTGTTCGCTCTGCTGCCGAAACGTTCTTATTTATATGAGGGATCACTGTAGAGAAATATACTTTGTATTTATTTTAATAAACTTTATTTCATTAACCATTTGCTGGCAAATTGGCAACTACACGCTTGCTGGCCAAGTTGATGGAATCGGTGTGGAGAAGTGAAACCCACTAACGTGTACTATATATATATATATATATGTGTATATAATATGAATGCACATGTGTAATAATGTTTTCGAATGCTGGCGAAAGAACTCGCCCATTTGGCGACACTAATTGTAAATGATTGCGCGGTGGTGCCTCCCGCTTGAAAGGTGGCATGCAGCCATGCGTCCAAGACGCTTACAATTTCTGGCTTAAATTGCCAAAGCGCAATTTGTCGCCAGTTGTCGTGTGCCCTCTCTTCAAAAATAAGCAATAGCATGTGGCATTGTTGCCACATCTGTTTTGTGAGCAAAATGTTTTATAAAGTCGTTCACATCACTTGAAGCGAACTTAGTTGCAATGTTCGAATTCAAACGGAAACTACACGCTAAGCTGGGCCTTTGGCTGTTCGTCTTGTTTGTGTGCCTGCAGCGCAGCTGTGCTCAAAATGCCAGCACAGTGGTCTGGGAGCCAAGCAACGGCACCAACAGCAATGACAATAACAATTTGAATACCAACAATAAACGTGATGTTAGCAACAATAATAGGTTGGATTATGGCAGCGCTTCGATTGCCAAAAGCTATGATCCGCCACCGGAATTCTATCGAGGACCCGGTTCCACTTCAAGCGGCAGTTCCACATCCATTTCCCATCCCGTTTCCAACAAGTATCTTGGGTCCGCAGTCGGTGGAGGTGCACAGCTGGGCAGCGTGGGTGAAAGTCTCAGCGAGGCATACAACAAGTGGCGTCAAGGAGTTGGCCAACATGATCGCATCAGTGTGGGTAAGAACACACATAGACAACATAAATATAGTACAGTGATATCTCGCAAGAAGAATTTTACAGTACAGGAATATTGAGTAATTCGTGAAGAAGATTTCACAGTAAAAGAACAAAACGTAGAATTTTCGAAAATGTTTTGAAAATATTTAAAATATTAAAATTCTTAAATAAATAATTAGAAGAAAGGATATATATCGAATTGTAATTAGTCATAAATTTTCACTTGAACCACATTTTGTCTATGTAAAGGGGAGGGCAGCCCCCCGAAAAAGATCCTTCAAAATAATATTCAAAATATGCTTCAAAGTAATGATTTCTAAAAGTTCTGATTTCGAAAATATCACAGGAATATAATAAACTAAAATTCAGACACTATTAACGATAATTCGCTTAGGTCATTTTGGCGGTGGTGCAGGTGGTGGTGTCGCCACACATATACAGAGTCCACATGGAGGACAGGCCAGCTATGCCTACGAGGGACATCCCTATGAGTATTCTACAGGTGGCGGCGCTGCACACGGCAGCTACTACGGCGGCGGCAGCAGCGCTGAAACAGGTCTACCCTTCGATGTGTATGGCGCCCGTCCGGGTCATGGGCTTCATCATGTTCATTATAGTGGCAACAGCGGCGAGTATGCGTATCCGGAGCCACACGATATTGCCGCGCACAAGGGACCGCCGGAGCTGTCACAGAAAGCGCTGCTAGCCAAGAGTTTTCTCATTCCATTGGCCAGTGCGGCTGTGCTGGGCATAGCAGCCGCTTTAGTCAGCAATCCGCTGCTGCTGCAGCTGGGCACAGTCTCCGGAATTGGCAGTGGCTTTGCTCCCGTTGTCGGCAAACGCAAGAGACGCGCACTGCGACGCGCTTATCCAGCACACAAGTAGCATTTATTATCATACTTAAAGTTCGAATACAATTTTTAAAATGCTTGCCAAATAAATCTGGCGCCTGCATGGCTCTAAGAAATATCTAATTTGGGAAATTATTTGTAAGTTTATTCATTTTCCACATTTCACGACGTATTTGAAAATCTATGTTATTAACATGGCAATAAGCTCGACTGTTATCGCTTACCGTGACCGCTGTTAATTTAATACTGGAGCCAACTGTAAGCTAACAGACTATGTACAAAATTAACTTGAAGGTTAAAATCCGTTGCCAAAGCTGTTAAATTTAAATTTCCAAATGTCATGTTTATTCATGTCAAAACAAACAAGTGACAGATTAAAAACTGTTCATGCATTGTTACATCATTTAATGATTGTTCCCATTTATATAAAGAAAGAAGCAGAAAAGGAGATTATCACAAAGTTAAATGCTTCAAAAGGCAAAAACACTGTTGCTTATTTGTAAAAAATCGAGCCTATTCACCTAAAGATCTTTAAGTTAAGATGAGTAGGTATCACGCTTCTTGCCCACAACTCATTTAGGGCTCAGACAGATACTACTCCACATGGCAGCACACAGACCCAAACACACCCACTCAGATACAAATACAAGCAATGTAGTTGCAGAAAACGCGAATGGAAACCATAAGTACAATAATTGAAGAAAATGTCAGCTACACACACATGGTGCTACGTGACTTAATAATGTCTCCTTGAGCGCCACATATGTAATAACGGCCACAACGTGTTGCTCTCATCTGCAGCTTTGGGTTAGTTTTCTTGTCGTTGACCATTTGATATCATTAAGTTTATGACTTGGCTCAGCGCAGGCACAAAACTTCAACGCCACTTTTTTTTTTACTCTCGCAATAATCATAAGCAACTAAGCAGTTTTAATTGGTTAGTTGTTAAATTGTTGTCACAGTTACAGAATGCTTTTTGAGATGGTGTAAAAATGAAATCAACTTTTGTTTGTTGCCACTTCTGAACTGCAGCCGACTTATTATAATATCGCTAATTTCAATCACATATATGTATAAATTTATTTGCTGAAATTAAGAATAATGTGCACAATTACAGTTAACTTCATGGCGCAAAAAATATTAATTACTATTCAGACCAGATGTTTTTAATAAATAACAAATGATAATAAAAAAAGTACAAATCAACATATATAAATAAAATACCATTGATTTTGGGCTGGTAGGAAGACAAGCGGCAATATGTTTAACTGGAAACTAATTTGCATGAATTTCAATAATTTAGAGCAACGGGAATTGCCACAAAATGGCACGCCCCCAGCCTAAACTGGGGAGCATACAACTAACCGCAATTTTAGTTGGCCATGTGATTTTAGGCATTTATATTTATATATACATAAGTGAAATGGATACAAACAACATCGCAAAATGTTGTGTATGGTAAAAATGCAACAAATTAAAATCTATAAATATTACATTTAATTTGTATGCTAAAATAATAAACATTGGTTGCTGCGGTTAGTTTGGCAGTTACGTTTGTTTGTCAATTGGCTCGAATGATTCAATTGCGGTTAACTGGTCAAGTGGTCAAAAGATTCGCTGCAACTCAACCATTGGCGTCAAATGACACTAATCAGCCTTTGTTGTTTGTGTGCGGCTTGTCAATGAGCTGTGTGCTTTAATTTCATAATTAGGCTGCTATAAATGACTTATAAATATGAATTTATAAATTAATAAATATATGGTTATAATTGTATCTAGTTTGGGTATAAGAGCTTATTATTTACAATTTATAACTTCATTGCGTAAAAATAATATTTTATATAATTTATTAAGATGTAATATTTAAAGAAATACTACTTGATATTCAATTAAACTCTATACTGCATGCATGTTGATGATCAGCGTAGATGCGATAATACTTTTGCAGATGTTCTGTAATTTGAATAACCAATATACAAATATTCAATAAATTTGCAACTTTTGATTTTAAGTTTTCTCAATATTGCATCAGCTTACAGAATGTTTCACAGCACAACAGTTGAGCTTGCTCCGCTGCCCGCCCGTCAGCATTCTCTTGTAGAATGTTATAATGGCAACAACGCCCAAATCATTGCCCCAGCACAGCCAATCACATTGACACCCACAATTCGCACAGCCATGCCCACATAGTTGTGGGTGGTAGCTGCCCCAACATTTTGGCCATGGAAGAATCAAAGACAAAAACATATAAAGAAAAGAAAAACAAATTACAGCTGTTGTAAAGTGTCATTTTTCAAAGTGCACAGCAATAGAATCGATGTCCGGGTGAAGGAGAGTAAAGTGGAGTGGAGTAGAGTGGAGTGGAGTGGGAGGATGTGTTTGCTGGGCAGCTGGGGTAAAACGGAATGTAGAAATAATCATAATGGCGCAGCGCATATTTGAGACGAAATCTTGCGTGGAAATGTTGTAGCAACAACAGCATCAAAAAAGTGGCAAAAACCAACAATAAGAAAAATGTGAGCAAATTTCGCTGGCAGCGCAAAAGAAATGAGACACAAAAAACAAAACAAGAACAAAGAAAGGCGGGGTTGGAGAACAGCAACCAAACCAAACCAAACCAAAAAAAAACTAAACCAAATTCCAATTTGTCAGGAATTTGTTCAATTTCAGTTTTGCTTTGTTGGGCGGTCCGTTCGGTCACTCATCTCCTTCCAATTCGTTCTCCCTCCCTACGACAACATCTGCATGCTCCACACGTGCCGCCATGCAAAACCATAAGCATAACGGCACTAGCGACCTCTACTGGCCATTATAGAGCTACCACGACAAATCGCACACATTTAACACTCGCACACTCGCACACACACACACATACACCCATCTATGTACAATGAGCACACGAAAAAAAAATGCATACTTAACAACCACACAAAAAAGAGCAGCAGGCGAAACAGCTGTTCGAAATTGCTCAAACAATGTGGGGCAGCCTATCCAGTCCCATTCACATCGATAGAGCGGAGCGCGTGAGTGTTGCTCAACGAATTTATTATTCGCAATTGTGACTTAAAGCATTCGATTATTAAAATGTATTGAAATCTCAATGCCCATTTGAAATATTTTTAATATAATTAATCTTAATTTATTTTGAATTATTATTTTTTTATGATAAAACGTACACAGGCTGAGATAGTATAGTAGGTTCTTTAATGTTGCCCTAACAAATTGTATGAGTATTTGTGAATCACATTGAATAACATTTAATTGCGCACTAAAACTATTGTGTGCTACGCTCTCTCCTCTCTCGGAGTCTGTAAGTCTGACAAAATATTATATATAATTATGATTGATGTGTAATAAAAAAACATGTTAACGTAATGTACATTTTATTGCCCCTTCCTATATAGATGAATACTAAATACTAAATGTTATTCCATTAGTATATGTGGATTATTTCCCTTGAAAGAGAAAAATAAATTGTATGTTAAGTAAGTTAATGTTTGAAAGTAGTTTTATCATCACGACTCACGCAATTATCACCAATTGATGCTTGAAGTAGGCAACATACAATTTTGGGTTGTACTTGTGGCTGGCCCTAATGACATTCGTATGCCGCTGCAGACAAGTGTAGCTTGGCCAATACAACATTTGTGGACCGGGCTCTTCACTAATAAACACTGCAGCCAGTAATAAGCCCGCAGCTTGATTTCAAAGATTAAAATGCAATTTTTTGTTTGTTATTGACGATTTTGGCTGCCAATATATGTCGCATGTGCCAAATGATAACGTATATTCCATATTAATGCAGGTGCCAAAAAAAATGTATTGTATAATTATTTATTTATACATATTTATACATATTTATATATATATATATATATTGGCGTCGAGCTTCGATTTACCTCTGATATATAAATATTTGAAAATAAAGTTGAAAGCACTCCATTGTTGGCATACCAAATACCAGCATTTATATCCAACATGCCCGCATTTTAGCCAACTTTTAGCTATGGATTTGTGTGTGTGTCTCTCTGTGTGCGTGTGTGGCTCTCTCTCTGTGTGTGTGTGTGTGTGTGTGTATGTTTGTTTGTGTGTATTTGTGTGGGGGCTTTGTAAATCTGTCGGCGCTTGTGCGTCGAGAGTTTTAATTGAATTTTGAGTGGCGTATTTAGGGATTTGTTATTTTTAATAGAAAGGCCACAGAACAATGAAATGCAATGATACAATTCCAATGCGAACAGCAAATAAAACAAACGCTCAAAGTTTTTTTCTTTTACGCTAAGTTAAATAATCGAAAGCGGAAATGTTTTGGCTTGAATGATTTTATTTGTAATCAAATAAATAAAATTGAGGGTTAGGATAGTAATGAAAAGTTGCTGGCTTTAGTTTAGGCTTAGGTTAAGTAGTATTACCTGATCAAAATATTGTTCTGAAAGTTGTCAGAAACTTTTAGGGCGTCTCTAAGCATTCGTCAACATTCTTATTATTCTTTTATTTAACTGATTTTATTATGGTTTTTTTATTCAATAAATTAAAGAGTATGTATAGAATACTAACGCTATGGATTAATACTTGATCAAATCATCTTTGTGAACGTTGTTAAGCACTTTCAGGGAATCTTTATACATTTTTTATTGTTTTATTGTTTTATTTAGATGATATTGAGATGACTTATTTCTTCAATATATTTAATTTAATTATTTTATATTCAATATAGCATGCTTTCTTGATTGGTATAGTACCCTTTGTCATCATTATTCCGAAGTTTATTCATGACGTGTTAGACAATAGTCAAATTTTCGTGCATAATTTCAACAATCTTTTGATTTTTTTTGTTTACATATATTTTTAAAACTGATAGCTGTCAGTTTTTGCTTTTCGTTTTGCTTTTGGTTGATTGTCAATGCTGATTGCAAATTTGTACATATAAATCTCTAGTGAGCAGCAAACCGATAGCCAAATGATATTGTCCTTTTTTTTTTTTTGTCTCTTGTTATTTTTGCTGCCACACATCAAAATTGTGTTATAAAATGCAATTTGTTAACGCCATAAAAACTTTGGGACCCGCATGCTTTTTATTATGCTCGATGACCAATTTGAAAAGCAATATGCGGACATTCAGATGG